CAGGACAAAGGAAAAAACATGTCTGCTTCCCTTAGTGTCCAAAGAAAAAGGTGTAGGCAAAAGCTATATACAACGGAAGTTCCCAGCAGACTGTGCTGGAAGTAAACAGACATGTCACATGGAACAACTCCACATGCCTGTTCTAAAGGTGGAATGGAAACTCAATATCCTAACATCCTCCCCCTTACCGTGTAATCTGTATTACCTGTGGTTGAACCCAATTGCAACCGCTGTACATAAACCTTAAGTTGTTCTCTGTTAACAACATTAGACAACAGAGCTGCAGGAATCTTGTTTCCTGGCATGTAGGACACCTGAATGAATCCTTTCTGGATACATTCCCTTGCACAATGTAACTCTATCTGCAAGTATTTGGTTCTTTGCTTGCAACTCTCTCCCCATCTCAAGCATCGAGGCAGACACATCACTTAACCTAACGATAGGGCCGGTCCTCCATGAGTTGCTGACTGCTACTGTAGAGCATGCTAGCTGTAGGAGCACTTCCAACAGTGGTTGAAAGCAGAAAAGTAGTGGCATACTGCTTTGTGTAGATACACAGTTACATCATTTGACAGATCACTTAGCTGCCGACCATGTGGTTTGACTAAAGGAAGAATTCCATCCTTCCTAAATGAGCTGTGGCTCCCTTATAAATATCTCCTTTCATGATTTCAACATGCATCTTTCATGAAATATGGATTTCATTTTCTTCCCTCTCTCATTTTAAGGCCAGTAATATGCTCGTGTTTTAAAAATAATTCCCAGTTCTAGGTTTCTGTGACCAGGGGCTACGACTGCATTTCTTTTTATTTTTTACAATCCAATTTAAAAATGGCAAGGGATAGGGGATTTCAAATGCACCATAAAAATTAGCAGTTCATGGTCAAGAGGGAGGCCTTTGATGTATGGAAGCCTTCCATTCAAGTCCAGAAATCATGGTGGCCTCTAGCAACGTTTTTAAAAAAGCACCTTAAAAATACAATGCAAGTAATTTCCTGTGCAACTTCTCTTTCAAGTTCAGTGGAATCATGGCTTTTTTTGTGTGGGAGCAGCAGAAACAAATAAAAGCGATTCTGGTTTTGATCACCAAAAGAGAGAGTGTATGTCTCTCCCAGTGAGCTTTCTAGAACATTCTATCTCCCCAGCGTCTCTTTGGCAAAACACCATTTAGCAGAATACAAAACAGTGTTTCAACTTTTTGAAGACAATGGAATAAATTCAATATGGCACTAAATTGAAGTTCTTTAGCGGTGTGCTAGCGAGACGCGGGTGGCGCTGTGGGTTAAACCACAGAGCCTAGGGCTTGCCGATCAGAAGGTCGGTGGTTTGAATCCCCGCGACGGGGTGAGCTCCCGTTGCTCAGTCCCTGCTCCTGCCAACCTAGCAGTTCAAAAGCACAACAGTGCAAGTAGATAAATAGGTACCGCTCCGGCGGGAAGGTAAACGGCGTTTCCGTGTGCTGCTCTGGTTCGCCAGAAGCGGCTTAGTCATGCTGGCCACATGACCCAGAAGCTGTACGCCGGCTCCCTCGACCAATAAAGCGAGATAATCACTGCAACCCCAGAGTCGGCCACAACTGGACCTAATGGTCAGGGGCCCCTTTACCCTGGCAGGAAAAGGCGCAGGAAGCCAGCACGGTTTTTGTGTCTTCTTGTTCAGCGATCTGGTGTCACCCCAATACCCCCATTTGAACAACAAACTTCCCACTAGTGCAACTGTTGTGCTGGATTTTGAGACTGCAAACCGCTCTGTGATCCTCAGATGAAGGGTGCTATATAAATTTAATAAGTAACAAAAAATAGTAATGATTTCATATTGTGTCATCATTACCCCATTAGCCCAACAAGCCTTTTGCTGGCAATCAAGGAATGTTGACTCCAGACCATAATTTCCTGAACCATGTGCTAAGATCTACAAATGAGACAATAAATAAATGAATTAATTAAGGTTCCAGGATCTTTGACACAAGAAGGCTCTTAGCCCGTAATCTGTTACCTGGTCCATTTAACTGAACATGCCAAGGCTTGAACCTTGGACATATTTTCATGCCAAACGGAGGCTCTGGCACCAAGTGACTGGTGCAACTCCACTCTGGTCAGAACACACTCAGGCTCTACCACCCCAGAGGACCAAATGTGGCCCCCCGGGTCTTCCTTTGTGGCCCTTGGGACTCTGAAAAGGCCACACCCTTCCTTTGTGCCCTCCATGAATGTCTTTGCCTGGATCAAATGGGTCCTCCAGCAGCAGGTATGCCTCGTCCTTCTCCGCTTGGGATGCCTGCAGAAACTTCAGTTGTACACATCTATTGCTCCACCCATCCTTGCCTCTGACCCCAGACACCATTGGCAAGAGACCCTTGGAAAGTTCCCCACAAGGAATCACAGAACTGTAGTGCAACCTCAACCCCCCCTGCAATGCAGGAATCTCAGATCAAACATCCATGAGAGACGGTCATCCAACCTCTGCTTAAAAACCTTCGATTCCACCACGTCCCGAGGGAGACAGCTCCACTGTCAAACAGCTCTTACTGTCAGAAAGTTCTTCCCAATGTTGAGTCGGAATCTCCTTTCTTGCTACTTGAAGCCACTGGTTGGATTCCTTCCTTCTGAGGTGCAGGCTACCATAGCAAAAGCTGGGTATTTTTAGGGGTGCTTCATAACAAGGGCGGGTGAGAAAAATGAGGCTGGCATAAAGAGGGGCGGAGGCTGGCACAAAACAAGTTGCAAATGAAAGTACAGTGGTACCTCAGTTTTTGAACGCCTCCGTTGATGAATGTTTAGGTTTTCGCACACCATAAACTTGGAAGTAAATGCATCAGTTTTTGAACACCTCGGAAGATGAACATGCCACGTGGCTTCTGTATTGAGTTTTCAGTTTTCGAATGTTTCATAACTCAAATGGTCTTCTGGAACGGATTACGTTCGAAAACCGAGGTGCCACTGTATTCATATAGGGCCCTTCAATTGCTCTATCAGGGCAGTTTTCAAAAAGAGTAAAAACGATACAAAAACCAATTAAGCAAAAAATAAAATAAAGTCTCAAGACCAGCACTGAACAGTCAGCAGAATTAAAACTGCACCTCAGAAACAAACAAAAAGGTCTTCTTAACAATTAAGGGCAACAGCAGGCAAATATTTCTGGGGATAATGTTCCACCAACTGGGATGTCATCAAGAAGGCCCATTCTGTCAGAGTCATCTCCTTTACCTCAAACAGTGAGACACTCACCAGGAACCCTTCGATTGAAAATTGCAATAGACAGTGAGATACACACAAGCAGGACCTACTGAAGATCTCACACGTGCATTTATGTCCACATTACCAAATGCCTCAAAACCTGAGAGGTTTGCTCCCCTGGGTAATGCTTCCTTCACAAAGCATCAAAGAAGTCTGCTCCATTCTTTCACTGGTGAAGTGATCCTTGACTTGGGTACCGTTTCTGACGTTTCACGCCAAAACTTACCTTAGTTTAGGGAAGCTTTTAATGTTTGATGTATTACAGTATTTTAATATTTTTTTTGGAAGCCGCCCAGAGTGGCTGGGGAGGCCCAGCCAGATGGGCAGGGTATAAATAATAAATTATTATTATTATTATTATTATTATTACCTTTCTGTAAGGTCTGGATCAGCATTAGAAACTCAGATATATTAGCTAGGTGCCAAAAGGCTCCTTAAACCAAAGGTTACAGTTGCCAAAATGGAATGTCTCCTTGCCGTCTGGGGGCAAGGTGTCTCTAAAGTCGTATTTTTCAAATGATGGACTGACTGTGGTTGATTATCAGTTAAACATCTGGCGAGTTCAGATGACAACCTTGAGCTAGGTCAAGAGCTTTGAGAATTTGAAGAAATGTCACCTGATCGAGGGGCAGTCCACATAAATACTGGTCTGTTCCGACCTCTTTTTCTTAATGGTGACTGCTCTTGCTCAGGCTACACAGGAAAAAGCATTTTGGTTCCAGAATTTCATTCAGATTGTACAGATAAAATATAACTCACAGAATTCTACAAGATGGGGTATTATTAGTGTGTGAAAACAGACCAAATCCAATGGTCCGCAGGCGTGCACCTCCAGATGGTGGTGATGTCGGGCACTATCCTGGCAACCAGGCATCTTCACTTGGTCGCAATTGGTCGAAAGTCAGGTGCAAAATGCACCTAATTTTGAACACTGGTCATGATGAAGGGAGCCATGGCACTGACAGAGGACCATTTACTCAAAGTCTCCTTTTGCAGAGAATTTGGTTTTCGAGACCTCTCACTCCTCGCTCTCTTCCTGGACCCAATTTATACATGTTGGGTATCTTATTACATAACACCTGGAAGGCCACAAGCTCCACACACCCCTGCAACAAGGGTGAGGCCAAGGAAAACGTTACAGCCCTGACCTACGTCCACTGGAAATAGTATTTAAAAACTTCTGTTTTATCAGGTTTTTAAATGGCTTCTAAGTAGCACACTACCAACTTCGCTTTCAGCTATCATAATTGAACACAGGCCACTGTTCCAGAGGAACAGCTGAGAGCCAAGAATTTCCGTCCATTTTTACAAGTTTTGCATTGTTCCATGTCTTTAGGCATCTTCCTTTGGACAGTTCCGCCCTGCCTGTGCAAGTTTTGCATTAACCAGCTCTATATTTATCATTGACAGTTCAATGAACTTGAGCACCTGCCAGGAAGGGGACGGTGCCTTCGAACCAAACTGGAATAAATGAATAGGGCGCCATTGGAACAAAATTCAGCATACTCTTTTGCAGGGTATCATATGAGACAAGCTGGCTATAAAAGCCTCTCTGACACAATGCATAGAGCGCAGACCCTGACCACAGCTCAGCAGATTACACAATTCCCCTTAATATGATTGGAAATAAAAGTTGTCACTAAAACACAAATTCCCATCCCTCAGATTTTAACAGCTTTTCAAGAGAACAGCAACCAGCAAAACGCTTGTGCCATACACTTGTTTCTCTAAAAAAGAAAAAAAAAAAGACTACCACCAGGCATGGATGATCACAATGTTTACCAACTTTAATAGGTTATTGCCACTAAACACAACAGTGTAAAGCCCTTTAGCCTGATCAAGTGCCAACAGCTGAGATTTTGTAGGGTTTTGTCGTTTTTGCCAAGGAGCAATGTGACGGCAAGAGGAAGGAAGGAAGGAAGGAGGGAAGGGAAGGGAAGGGAAGGGAAGGGAAGGAGAGTAGCCTGAGTAGGACAAAGGCATCCTGAGGAAATGAGAAAGGCCCAACCACAGTTGCCCCACTTTTCACAACAAATGACAATTTGGCTAGCTTTGCTTTCAAACTTGATATTATGGCACTGAGGGTCAGAAACTGGTTTTTCCTTTAACTTAAGTGCTGTGAAAGACACTTTCCACAAATGTTTTGTGATTACTGCCTGACAGCAGCCATGTCTTCTATACTGATGCATCAAGTTCCTGGAAATCACTCCAGCAATACACACAAACCATTGTGCTTTCACACCTGCTAGACAATGAAAGCATTTTGTCCCCTCAAGGAAGCAAAAGATGCCCAAAAGAGCTGAAATTTCCAAGCCCACAATGTCAACCATGGACATACCCAATTATTATTTTTTAAACCTCACATGCTTTTCTGCTTTGGAATGGCAGACCTGCTCCCATCAAACCATGCCATATTGCAAATCCCACCCCCGTCTCCAGTTTCAAGAGAGCTTTACAATCTCTTGGGGATGTTGTTCCACAAGTTCAATCAGACTCCCTTAGGCATGCAAAACAAGTCACAGTGTTTTGGATCCTGGACCAGTTATATTCACAGATAGTATATGAAGCAGTCCTCTAAGCAGGGGATGTTGCTGCTTAACCATTCAAACAAGCCATGGTGAGAATTAAATTTTTTTTATTAGTGTATTCACATATTAGGCAAATGCAACACGCATGAAAGCTTATTTCTTAGGTTCACAAGTTCTACCAATACATTAGGCTACTGGTAAAACTACACAAATTGGTAATGGCTTCGCCAATTCTTTTAAAATTGTCTGACCCACTTTGATTGCCCACCCTCAGGCTCGATATTTGGTATTGCTCCTATGCCCTATCTCTTAAGGCATAAAAAAATCCATCATTTATCCTCCGTTCAGTCAGCTGATTGCAAAGCTTAACACTGGCCACGTTTGTTCTCAAAGCTGAAGTTGTCACTAGGTGTACTTACAAAGTACAATACTAGTGCAAATAAACGATTTGGGGTGGGGCGTGGGGGGGGGGAGGAAAGAAAACAGACAAAAAAAGGCAATCCTGCTACTGCCACAACAACATGAGAATGACAGACGGCTAGATCACAAGATTGTTAGTAAGATGTATACTTTTCAAGTCAGAATAACCCTGCTATACAGTTTCCCAACCCTTACCCAACCCAGACTTATCTGTAGAATATAATTCAAAATATTTCTTAAAGCAAGGTTCAGATGTAGTGTCCAAGGGTTCTCAATAACATGTACTAGGGAATCTTCTCTTTTTATGGCTGGTCGCAACACCCAGCCTAGGGAGTCTGCAGAAGCAGTGACTTCGGCAAGATCCACTCCTTCTGCAATGGATGCTCATTAAGCAAAGCCATACAATTTTGTTCGGACCAGCCCGGTAAACCTTCAAAGAAATGTTAAGTTTTATGTTCAAACCCTTGTGGAAGTTGCATTTCACTGTGTGGGAGAGAGGGGAAAACTGGTAGGGCAGCCACATTAAATCTGATTTAGACTTTTATTTTTAAAAAAATCTACCAGTGAAGCAGGAGATAATTGATGGTGCGGCTGCTCTCAACCGTTCCTTTCAATCTGCACTCCCCAAAACTGTTGCCTGGCGTATCTGGAGTCCCACTACACCTTAGGAGGGAGAGGAGCTGGAGTTTGTGTCTCCTGCATTTTAGAATTGGATTTAAGAGCAAAGGAGATGAGACTCTGGGTTGCATCCTGGCAACCTTTTTAAAAAACAAACAAACCCCTGCTGAGTGTAAAGAGATAGAGTTCAACTCCTGCATGTCACATACTCATCTCTGCTGTCTGGATAAGGGAAAGTTCTCATAAAGGGTTTCGAGACACGAAAGGACCAGCAACATCTTACAGCTGCTCGCTTGTCACTTCTGAAAAACAAGGGTGCTGCTTTGAAAGTGCACACTCACCAATCTGAAGGTGGTGAACAAGTCTTTCTTGGGAGAAAAATGTGGATTATTATCAGTCAAAAAAACTTATTTTGCAACAGCTGCATGCGCGCATGCGCTGCAGACCTAGCATTTAAGAGATTGCAACACTCCAGGCAAAGGGCTGATGCCGGCAGTTAAGAGATTCCTCGCTTCCACCCAGGTCTGAACCCCTCCGCTCCCTCCTTGATCCCAGCTAAGCATGATCCCAGTAGCATTTGTTAGCCATGGTCAAGGTGAAAAACCATTAGCATATTAATGTTGATTCCATGGTAATTAACCATGGCTAACGGCAGGAGGGAGGAGAAGGCAGGAAAGCATAGTCCTCCTTGTGATCTCTTAACCCTAGTCAGAAGACCACACACAGTTACAGCTGCAGTGGTCTGTTGGTGCATCTCCCAGGAATGACCTCCCGCCATATTTTCAAACTAAGGTGCAAGCTGGACCTCAGGGCCAGCAGCACCCATCGCCGGCAACAGATGCCACTACTTCAGGTGGGCAATGGAATAATCTATTTTTTAAAGCATGGTTTGGCCCGGGGGAGGTGGGCGTGGGGGCAAGGAGTGAAAGGTTGAACGTGGCACTGCCTATTTCAGGCCCACTAAGCATACTCAACACGCAAGATTTCAAGAGATGGAACCCAAGAATCGCTCCCGCTCCAAAGAGGGGTTTTTTTAAGGTGACAGCTAGTACACTTGGAAAAGGTTGGGGGGGGGAGGAGATTTTCTGCATAAAGTCTGTTATAGGGCAGCGGAAAGCCTGCATATATATTTATATATAAAAATATAAAAAAATATAGAGAAGCAAGAACTTGGGCTTTTTTACGAGATGGCTGCCTATGTCAAAGAGCTCCGCACATCTATCAATGGGAATTTAAACTCAGGACAGCAGAATGGTGTCAAAATGGGGGGGGGGGGGTCCCATGATACATTAACTGAACCACTCATGTTATTGGTAAACCTTTAGGACACTCAATTTATATATACCCAATAAAAAACACCATTAAAGTATTTAATATGTCCCTCCCTCCTTCGGCAGAAGGCGTTTCTATACACTAACTTTTCATCTAGAGCATCAGAGTATAGGAAACAAAACCCACAAGGTGCTTAGAAACTGATGAGACCCTCAAGTGCTTTTCTGTCTCTTTCTCTCTCTCTGAACTTTTTGGATAGGAAACAGTTCATGGAGACCACACACGAGTTACTACGACAGACGAGCTGTTAATATTTAAGTCTGTTGCCTGGACTTCGCATTTCAAGCGCGCTAGTGGAGACGAGGAGCATTACGACATGCTGGAGCAGCGCACTGAGGGAGAGCCCATCTGAGTCAATACTTTGTCCAGCCACTGTAAAGGCCCGTTCAGGTGAAGCTCGATCCAACAGGGAGTGCTTGTTACCGTCTGCCGCCTGAGGAAGGGAGAAAGAGTTGGGGGATGAAATAACACTGTGAAGCCAGCATACAAGCCAAGTGCTTAGGCAAACTAAGGCCCGGGGTTCGGATCCGGCCCAATCCCCTTCTAAACCAGGCAAGAGGGCCTTCTCAGTAGTGGCACCTGCCCTGTGGAACGCCCTCCCACCAGATGTCAAAGAGAAGAACAACTGCCAGACTTTTAGAAGACATCTGAAGGCAGACCTCTTTAGGGAAGCTTTTAATATTTAACAGACCACTGTATTTTAATACAGTCGTACCTTGGGTTACATAAGCTTCAGGTTACACACACTTCAGGTTACAGACCCCGCTAACCCAGAAATAGTACCTCAGAGGTTAAGAACTTTACCTCAGGATGAGAACAGAAATCGCACAGCAGCAGCAGGAGGCCCCATTAGCTAAAGTGGTGCTTCAGGTTGAGTACAGTTTCAGGTTAAGAACGGACCTCCAGAACGAATTAAGTACTTAACCCGAGGTACCACTGTACTCTGTTCGAAGCCACCCAGAGTAGATGGAGAAACCCAGCCAGATGGGCGGGGTATTCTATTCTATTCTATATCCGGCCCGCGGATGGTCTGGGAATCAGTGTGTTTTTACATGAGTAGAATGTGTGCTTTTATTTAAAATGCATCTCTGGGTTATTTGTGGGGCATAGAAATTTGTTCATTTCCCCCCTCCCCCCAAAAATATAGTCCAGCCCCCCACAAGGTCTGAGGAACAGTGGACCGGCCCCCTGCTGAAAAAGTTTGCTGACCCCTGGTTAGAGTCCCTGCTCAACAATCAGCTTACATGGCCACTTTTAAGACCACAAGGGGCAAAGAGCCAGTGCCTCAACACCCCCCCCCCCCAAATAGCAAGTTCTGTCACCAATTTGGGGCTGGGCGATATCTGCTTTTCAACACTGCGATATATCACCAGAATGGTTTTAACTATAGGAAAGGTGGCATACAAATAAAATGAGGGCAATGGTTTTATTTATTAAATTTCTATTTCACCCTTCATCTGAAGATGACAATATGACGATGATACCAATTTGCTTAATTTGTAAAAGGGAACGTCAGGCCTACATTACCATCCCGGCTGCAGGATGGTTCTACAAACACGGAGAGGAATGCCACTCTGTACCTGTATTCAGCGCCCCATCCTTTAACAAAACTCATCCTTATGGTGCACATTCGGGTTAGTTGATACACTGCTTCAAAGCCCTGATTTACAGACTGAGCCAAAAGAGCAGCAAATTCCTGGTTATTAAAGATCTTTAGGTTGCAGCCTACAAAAAAGGAAAAACGGTAAAAGGATGAATGATCGGTACCACTACATTACACACATTTAAATGATTCAATCCCCCTACCCAACTATTTTCCTTAGGCATCACAGCAAGGCAAATAAATACATTTCAATACACTGAAATGATGGCTGATCTCTGCTGGTTATACACCTCTTACCTGGCGGGATTTTGCACACGGTGGCAGGATGCCAGCCATATCTCTGATTACAATTGGGGCTCTGAACAAAGATTGCGCTATCGCTTAGGCACTCAGCAAAAACCTCTCCGCCAATGTAATACAGGCGCACTCCCCTCCCTAGAAAAAGAAAAAGAACATTAAACGAACAGAAGCAGCTAAAATTTGCCAGATCCAACATACTGGCAAGTGCATACGGTCTTGTTTAGCCAAGCGCCGGTTACATATTTTCTGGATGCTTGTGCTCTTCCAGTAAGCACCTGCTACTCTGCTGCTTAGTTTTGTTTTACTGCCTGTTGCTCATTCTTCATATATTTTAATATATATCACTAGCAAATCTGAGGGGTCCCAAGATGCAGCGATATAAATATACCGTTCAGCTACTGTACAAATGATCTGCTGTGCTGCCATTACTTAAATGAAGAAATAACAAAAGATGTTCAATTTAAAAAGAAGAATGCAATGGACGGAACTGTTTTTTTCAGCAGATCAAGGGAAGAAGGTTAGAGGAAGCAGGAGAGCCGCTGGAATACGTGGCGAGAAGTACATACCTATGTGCCTTCTTGTCATCTCCACAGTGGCGTTTCTATTAACATTGGAGAGCAAGCCTAGGCAGAATCTTTCAGAGTTTGATGGATCCGTAAAGCCATCAACAGTAAGTGAAGGCTGTGACGCATGGAAGGTTTCTCCCACCCTCTGATTTAATTCATAATATGCTATAGAACACCAAAAAGCAGGCTCTGAGTAGGTAACCGGCTGCAGGTCTAGAAGGGAAAGAGGAAGAATTCTTGTGGTTAACATGTATTAATGCTGGACTATCATTTGGCAATAGGAAGCTAGTCAAGGCTATGCTCCCCAAATCCTCCTCTAGTTGTGCTCCTTAAACAAGGCTATTCCCTTCTGTTAGACTTCTCAAAGAATTCTTAGCTGCACATTATGTTTGATGCAGTTCCCTTCACTGGCTTAAATGAACATTTTATTGACTGTTGTTTGAGCGGAAAAGACATAATATACCGTATTTTTCGCTCCATAAGGCACACCTGACCATAAGGTGCACCTAGTTTTTGGAGGGGGAATGCAAGAAAAAATATATTCTTTAAAGGGAGCGCTGAGCCTGTATGCATCCCAGACTCTGCTCAGCGTTCCCTTTCACGAGCCGCGCGAGCTCTCACTTCCCCCACCTCCCGCAAAAGCCAGGGATATCCACGCTCCCTTTAAAGTGCATGCGGCTCTCGTGGGAGGTGGGGGAATTGACAGAGCGCGGCTCTCTCACTTCCCCCACCTTCCGCAAAAGCCATAGATAGCCACGCGAAGCCTCCGCAGGGCAGGGGATGAAGGCTCCCCGCTGCCCTGCGGAGGCTTTGTGTGGCTAAGCCAGAAGCTAGAACAGCTAGAGGGAGCGCTGCGCAGCGCTCCCTCTCACTGTTCTAGCTTCTGGCTTAGCCAGCAAAGCCCGCATTCGCTCCATAAGGTGCACATACATTTCCCCTTACTTTTTAGGAGGGGAAAAGTGTGTCTTATAGAGCAAAAAATATGGTACTTTCTTCAAAACCTCTGCATTCTGCATTTCCTCTCTTTCATCTTGTGCGACAGATCCAACAAGCTTAACATATTTTTAATGCTAATTTACAAGTCTCCAAAACCTCTAGTTCTCTCCAAGTTGTCTCAACACACTCTGTGTGTACACACACGTACACACAAAATTAAAGGCATGTTCTTGTCTGGAATGCTTGATTTGTCCAAATGCTCCACATCCAGAACACCTTATACTATACAAGACATGCTTCGTGACATACCGTCAACCACCTCTACATTTCCCATGATCAAAAGAAGGAAGCAATTACATTATGTACTGTGGAACCTAACACAGCAATATTCAAGTTTAAAGGTGCCCAAAACACAGAGTCAATCCTCAGAGAAATAATCCTCAGAGAAAATATTACTAGAAGATGCTGAATGAACTAGATATCAGTTCAGCAGTGTCTAGTTTTCAAGAGATTCTAAGGGCAATCTTAATCATAGGTCATAGAACTGCAGGGACCCCAAGGGACATCTAGTCCAACCCCCTGCAATGCAGGAATCTCAACTAAAGCATCCAAGACAGATGGCCATCCAATCTCTGCTTTAAAAACTCCAAGGAAGGAGAGTGCACTACCTTTCATGGGAGTCTGCTTCACAAACAGCTCTTACTGGACAATATGATATAACTGTAACCACAAAGTATGTCCCTATAACAGACCAACTACCAGCCAAAATCGACTGCCAACAAATATTTCTTTGCTCTTCCCCAAACCATTCCGCACTGCCAACTAGGACAAAAAAATAAACCAGGCAATTCTTCCCTTTCCATTTATGCCAAATAGTCTGCCTGACTATTTCGATTAAAAAGTGGCAGACTACTGCACAGTCCAGTAACCTCTCACAAGGGTTGAAGTAACAGAATATGCTTTTTTCAAAAAATAACACCCCAGACATACAGAAAGGGATTTTACTTGCGGGGGTGGGGGGTGGGGGTCAATGTAGTAGAGTGGCCAAGTAACCAAGCCATGAACAACAAAAGCCCTGGGTCAAATCTCCCCCCAACCTTGATCACCCCATCAGAAAAGGCCCTCTAAGCCTCAGCTTTCCCATATAGGATTTAGCTGACATTACAAATCTACCTTGGAGGACTTTTCAAAGGACTGCCGAGGAAGAGTACAAAACAGCTACAACACGAAAAAAGCACTATTCCAATGCTTTGAATATTGTAGTTACTTTAGCCTGCAAGTATGTGTCCAGAAGATATTCCACATACTGCTTATTTATGAACAGCACATTACCCAGTGTGTCTACTCAGCAGGTTACCAAAAAAGCCACCTGCACAACATTGTTCAAGCATAGAATACACCTTGATTAAAACACACAAGACAGCAATTAAACCTTGGGTGCCCATACTTGAAACATGACACAGGAGAGGTGCTTAAAATAAAATTAAAAAGAGACTGTCCCTGCTAATCCCCGCACCCCAATAAACCACTTCTCCCCATACTCTGCAATTTAATTCCACCTGCAATGGATTCTAATATAATCAACCAAATGCAAGCACATTTACCTCATTTATTATAGAGAAGTGTTTATAACTTACCCAGGCTGTGATTGACAGGAGAGAGTGTACTGGGAGACAGCTCTGCTGGAGATCCTGAGGAATTAATACAAAAAAAGTTAGTTCACAACAAAAATTCACTTTAGTAATCACATTTGGAGGCTGTGCCAGCAGCAGTTTTGAGGTCCTGGGACCCGTTTTCACTAGCACAATCCCATGTTAGATTTACTCTGAATATGCTACAATATTGCTACTGTTCAGCAAAAGTATATTTTGGAAAGTGAGCCAAAGGCAAGCTTTTCTCTAACTTAACAAATGCCAGTAACCTCGTGCCATATGCACAGCAAATATTGTCCCTGTATTACAAAGACTGAGAAATACCCATGTTTGCAGCCTGGGACGGAGCATTTGCCATAACTGAAGGCGAGCAGAAACTGAACCGTTTCCTCGGCTAACTTCGGTTGGCTTACTACTTAAGCCTACCCCTATCAGGAGTAGCAAAACAAAACAAAAACCCAAGGTTATGGGATCAGGGTGGGGGGACGGACACACACAAAAAACCCCATACACATAACACCATCAAACAAGCTGATAACCTGTGCTTTCGCCACTACATAATTGCTCCGCAAAGAAAAAGACAAAACTTTGCAAGGTTAGTCCTACGACAAGCACTGCTCTTTGATCTGCACACAATACAATTCATGCCTCTTGACACAATTCAAGACTTCCCAAGCAATGACCCACATTCAGCGCAGAGTATCTTTGCAGACATTTATCTCCACAACACTTCAACCTCTCACCAACCACAGCGTCCCCGTTTTGACCCTGGACACTGAAGGCCATGTTGCCCCTTGCTTATATGAAATAACTTAGGCAGAGTACAGTAGTCAGAGGATTTGGACTAAACTCAAATGGTTGCTTGGCCACTTGCAGAAACTAAAGGTCTGGTTTAGACACAACAACTGCTTGTTGGACTAGGGCTAGTTCACAGTTTAAAACGGATAGCCCTTCTTTTTTGCTGCATCCAAACTTGGCAAAGTGGAGTTCACTCAAACTACAGCCTGTTAACAAATTGGGGTATCAAAAGCCAGGCTTGTTTCTAGTTTGTACTTGTAACAACGGGGGTTTTTTATATCGGAGCTGGGCCCCAAGACCTGCCTCTTTCCTGCTTTGAAGAGGTGTGCAGCTGCCTCACTCCCTTCCTTTCTTAATAGAGCTACTGGTTCTATAGTAAGGAGGGAGACAAAGGTAGCTTGCACATGTTACATTGATCCCACTTCCTGCCTTCAAGCATATCTTGGGGCTGAAAAGAGGCAGTGCGGTGTGGTAAACCTCCTTTACCAACCACAGTTACTGCAAAAGCTTCACACCTTTAGGGAGAAAGGGATCTTGAGACACGGATTCATGCTTTTGTAACCTCAATGAACTACTACAAGGGGCACAACTCAAGACAACCCATGAAGGCAACTTGGAAGCTGCAGCTAGTGCGAAATGTACCTATCAGCTGATACAATTGGAAGTGGAGTCATATTCCAAGGAGTGCACTGCCCGTCAGCCTGAATTAAGGCTGAACCCCATGCTGAGACGCAATTAGATTCCATTTTGTTAATGTAAGCCACCTTGAACTGTGGAAAGGGGGGCACAGAAATGTTTTAATAAATCTTCATCAGTACAAAGGGAGGTTTGTTAAGCCCCCTTACATATTTAAAGTCTTCTGTAAGAATTAATACCGTTACCTGTATCCATGCTTTGGTTCAACTGCTGGTCACTGGTTTCTCCATCTTCACTGATATAGCCGGGTGGTGGTGTTTCTACCAAAAGTACAATCAATGAGCCATTAAATGAAAGGGTTCTCTCAGTGTCATGCACAAACTGCACACATTAAAGCTTTCAAAATTTGCAGAATTAAAGAGTGCACACTGCCTTTATTTTATAAGTTGCAGGGGATCTCACTATGTTATGTGAGGAAGGAGGAATAAAACCCACCAGCCACCTGCCATTTTCCCTGCTCTCTAGGCTACATGCCCCCTACACTGTGGATGGATGGATGGATTTCTAGCAGAGTTGATTGAAAAACAGGCCAATCAGGGTGCACCACAAAAAGGGCTAGATTATAACCAGTCCGAAGCAAGCCAAATACCAGCTGACATGCCAATGGGCTCTAGACTTCCAGGGAGAAAACAAAAACACCCCTCATCTTCCCTCCTCCCTTGGGAACAGGTACTGTAGAACATGAAGTATATGACAACCTACATAGCTTTAAAAAAAAAGATGTTAAGAAAAATGAATCAATGTGTATCCAATAATATCTAAAGCATACAGGATCTGTTTGAATAGCGTAGATCCTATCTGCCTGCCACAACACTGCAGGTGGCTTATATGTAAAATATAAGAGACTAGAACAATCACAAAGCCAAATCAATGTAGGGCATGGGTAGGCAAACTAAGGCCCGGGGGCCAGATCCGGCCCAATTGCCTTCTAAATCCAGCCTGCGGATGGTCCGGGAATCAGCATGCTTTTACATAAGTGGAATGTGTCCTTTTATTTAAAATGCATCTCTGGGTTATTTGTGGGGCCTGCCTGGTGTTTTTACATGAGTAGAATGTGTGCTTTTATTTAAAATGCATCTCTGGGATATTTGTGGGGCATAGGAATTCGTTCATTCTTTTTCCCCAAAATATAGTCCCACCCACCACAAGGTCTGAGGGACAGTGAACCGGCCCCCTGCTGAAAAAGTTTGCTGACCCCTGATGTAGGGGAACAAATTGTGGCTAAACAGGGTTAGAGGCACATCAGAAGTTACATGGATTAAAGCCTGGAAAAAGAAGATGCAACACTTCTTTGGTTTACAAATCTTAAGGAAGAGGATTGAGATGTGTCTCTGGGCCAGAGGTCTCTTACATCCCATAGCCAAGAGAGTGAGCAGGGGTCAATCTGCAGAACTTAAAGGACAAGAGGGCTTCTATGTAAGAAGTACTCTCAAATATCCTGGACTCAGCCTATACAGATTGGAACCTATAAAGCTACCTTGAATTAGGCTTTGAAGAACAGAACAAGGAAGCAGAATTTAGTACATGTTTACTGCCTACACATTAAAATTTACTAGAAGCCTGAGTTGACTGTGCCTCTTATCCAAAATCCAGGATGTTAGCAGATGATCAAATGTCAAGTCCATTCCCAACAATCCACTGATACCAAACTCAATTGTGAGTTGGGCGGGCTATCAATCCTGATAAAAGATTCTGTTGAAAGCTGAACAGGCTTCTAAAGGGTCAGAGAAGCTACCACCAGCACAGCTGCTGCAAAGAAACTCAAATCCTGGGGTGCCCTACCCTCCTCCCTGCATTATTTGCTTTTTCTTTGGTTGTTGTACTTGAAATTAGTCCTTCAGATGGCAGGAGGCCACTCGTTGCGCCATTTGCTTTCACATAAATACCTGGTATGTAATTGCTCTGTGGTTCAATTCCTGCTGGAAAGTTAGTGTTTTCGGGAATGGAATGAGTATAGTCATCGAGTTGTGGAAGTTCAGTCAGAATCTCTGTATGCCGTGGTACGAGGACAGGAGGCAGAACTGGGGGAGGAGAAACAAATTCCCAAAAAATGTTAAGAGACTGCCTAGATTTGCTATAGTTTTGCTAGATTAGTGCAGACACTAAGTTGCATCAATCCTATCTGTGGGACTAACAGTGCAGCTCTATGGATGTTTACTTGGAAATGAACTCCCACTTTGGGACTAACCACAGAATTGCACAGCTACTGACTTGGGTAAATAGGTCTTACTGAAAGGTAAGCATGCACAGGATTGCAGCCTCAGTGTGTTAGGTAATATCAATTTCAATCAGTTATAATGACCAGATAATCAGTTTTGTTTCAAGAAAAAAAGACAACGATAAATATTAGGTAGGAGAGAGGCCACAAGTTTCCAGTATGGACAACGTGCCAAGTGATACCTCCCCTGGAATCAAGCAGGATGTATTGATTTTTTTAATTCATTTTAATTCAATAAATTTTATGAGCAACTTTTGAAAACAAAACATAGTTAAAACCATGCTCAAGGTGGTTTACAACATGAAAAAACACATAATTACAAAGATAACAAAAGCAGTCATAAACAATAAACAAAAAAAAATCACAACCAAATTAAACACTTTTGACATAAATTGTGGTAAGCTCTAAAATAAGGGTACAAAAAATTAGTATCAAAAAGAGAAACAACCTGCCCCACCCCCAGCAAACAATACCCCAACCCAAAAGGCTGTTCAGCAGCCTCAGTTTTTGTAGCTGGAGTCAATCAGGGCCCCATCCTTCCACGCCAGGTGGGAAAGGGCTGCAAAAAGCCATTTCCTTAAATAAAAAAAGACCTGGGTTCAAATCCCCTATACATTCAGGAAGCTCCTTGGGGGTGACCTCCAAGCCACTGCATTCTGCACCAGCTGAAACTTCCAGTCTTCAAAATGTAGCCCAAGACAGAGGAGACTCAAGCTTTCCAGACTGCATTTAAGCTGCACTGTATCTAGATAGGCTGATTGCTAGCTGCGACCCTAAGTTGATAAAAGACACTACTAGTCAACAACGAATGTGAAGCCACCCCCCAAACTATGAACCTGACATTTCAGAGAGAATGCAACCCCACCCACAACAGGGTCTTTGGCTCAGCCTTCGTCTCTTGGCTCTCCCTTCCCTAGGTGCTTTCTCAAGCAGAAAAGTTTAAGACGGGCAGTCACATTTATTTCCCCTTCCTCCATGGAGTTTTGGATATCATGGGCATTCCCTGTTTTTAGTCCTAACCACTTTGTGAAGTAGGTTTAAGGCTGGAAGACAGAGGCTGGCCCAAGGCCAACCAATGAGTTTTACAGTCAACCCTGGTTTTCTCAGCTTTGTCCAACATTCTGCTAGAGAACATAAATCCAACTAGGACAACCAGGGTGCAAATCCCAACTCAGCAACAAAGGTCACTGGGCTGCCTTGAGCCAGACATTGTTTCCCAGCATACGGCTCGGTTGTGAAGATAAAGCAGGAGTGGAGACGCAACATTCTAAGCTCCCTGTACAAATGCCAGTAAAAAAATTAAATGCATGCAGCTCTTTTTGCTACTGATGCTTGAACTTTTACTGGTGGAAGCCTCAAGGGAGACACACTCCAGCTAGTAGCTGCTCACCTATGGAGTCCACTCCCCAGATACGAAAAAAAGGCTGAGATTACAAGTCAGCTTAGTGGCTATGACTAAAAAAGTAGGTGGGGGAGCCTTTAAGCTGTATGTGCATTTATTGAACTTATGTTAAAAAGTACTGTGTTTTGCTCCGAGTCTCTGCAACTGAGAACAAATAGTTTTGAAAGAGACGCTCTGCTGCCCTAGCTGCAAGCATTTTTGTTAACATTTTGCAATTCCAAACTATCCTGGGAGGCGCCAAACACATGCATTCAATACAACAACAATGGCTTTCAACATTTAAGCACCATTGTCCGATTAAATTTTGGATTAGCTCTCACTCAAGCTCTTGGAATTCCAAAACAATAACATGGACTCCTCTCACTTCAGCTTTGCACACACTGTTAGTAAGATTCTTAGCAAAAGAAGCCAGGGCAGCAGACACCGATACGCCAAGAGCAGCTTGCCATCTTCCTACCTGGAGTCTCCACTCTCTGGTAATGGTAAGGGTTTACGCATACTTCGTCCTTTTTAAGATTAAAAGCATATTCACAGTTTTCAATTGCCTTAAGTTCATGGTGACTGTGAAGGTCAGGCCAGCGCCACAAACGGCAGTAAATAACATGTGGCAATCCTTTACGGTGGGATACTTGCAGGCGGCCATCAAGAGACCTAGAGGGAGGAAAAGTATTCCAGAACATTTAGGGAAGTTCTCAGGAAGCACATATAAGCCAAGATATTCTGTATCATTAGGCACCTCTCATTGCCGCCACCCCTTTAAACCAGAGAGCCAACAAAAGACATTTATGATGTTCTCAGGTAAGAGGTAGTGTTATCGTTAAAGCATACACTACTATTATTGGCACTTGAAATCAAGGAGTCCCTGGGTGACAGGGTGCGCTGGTGACAACAACTGCACATCTAAGCAAACAGGACATTACACCTAAGCCTGCTCACCGTGAATACTATGCTACACTTTAGTTGACGCTGCTCCTTGCTTTAAGCACATCTCTGTCATACAAGATTGCGCGTAAGGTTACAGCAGTCAGATCTCCAAGCAATCCACATCACTTCCCAACCTGAAGCTTGCGTTCGGCATACACTGGGCTTGCTTGTGGTTTCACGGTCGGTTCCTCGCACCCCTTGCTGCTACCAGTTGAAAAGGTTTGCTAGTTTTAAGATGGACTGCCTAGGCCTACACAAATGCAGATGGTTTATGACTCATGGGATGGGAAAGACAAACCTCAGTACACAATGCGAGTAAGGGTGACATGGAAAAAAAACCATCAAAAACCTAAACAAGCTGCTCACTCCCCAAGTTGTGTCCCACACCTTCCATAAGTCTCTGAATGCACATACCTGATCAGCTAACCCCACGCCCCGCCAAAAAACCCCCCCAGTGTGCAATCTGTTTTAAACACACACACACTTGCCCCCAATTCTTATTAAACAAGTACAGACCATATGGTTGCATCCCCCACCCCACCCCAAGTTTTCCCCTTTTCAGAACGGCACTGATGTGGATAGAGGGTTTTTTTTCTTTTCCAAAATTAGAATTTCATTGGTTAAAACATCAGCTGAGAACACTTAAGGCAAAATCAGTTTTTTTAAAAAAAAAATGCTTTGCTGACTAGGAAGCATTTCCACTAGACAAGACCCTTGAAAGCCAACCCTCCCACAAGATCTCTACAATGAGACACAGGGCAGAATATTCACCTGGTTTGTTCAGAGAAGCTGTATAGGCCTGTGGTATCCCACTGATCTATCGTGTTTGGTGTACTCAGTCCCCAAATTTCAGAGCAAGTGCTGTGTATAAAATTGAAAAAAAACAAAAACAAAAAAGTTGATGTGAATATGGAAGCATGGTTATTCAAACTACCATGATGTAAAGACATGGGGGGAATGTACAGAAAGCTTCCTCTCACATAGAAGATGCAGCTTTTCTTAAGCCTCAAACGCTGTATATTCTATATGAAGAAGGCCAATAAAATGGAACATGTGATTCAAGGTAAAATGATGTTTCCAAAAAGGTGAACAAGTTCGCTGGGTTTAAGCAAACAGCATACTTTGAATATACCTTAAAACAGGCAAAACCTCCTCAACGTGGCAGTACACAATAGTATCTTCTAGCTTTAGGGAGTATATTTGCAAGCATATGAAAAGTCACAGACTAAGCCGTGTCAGTATGATGGTAGATTTCCACAAGTTGTTAACACAGCCATCAGGAACCACAAAAGCAATGTAGATCTATTACTAGCTTGAATGTGCAGGCTTTTTTTTTCTGTGTAGTGGAAAGGCCTTATGACAATCCTCTCCCATTTTCTTCAGTGCCATATAAGAAAAAGGATACGTCCAATGTTATGCTGTTGCAAAGCACACATTTATGCAGGCTGAAATCCAACAGGAGAAGTTCAAACAGCTCAACTTAAGGTACAAGAAATGCCATTTATTAACTCAAAAAACCTTTAAGTTGCCAAACGAAGATGGCAGTCATTTCAGAAAAGACAAAGATTTAATGGATGTCCCAGCAACCAACGTCATCAATATGGGTGCAATATTACAACAAACCTGATTTATACCAGTGACAGAATGCCTACATGGAATATCACTGTCTTATTTATTCTATACCGTTTGGTATTCTTCAGGAACCAGCCGCTGCACTTTGCTTTCCACCTACTGGAAGAGTTCTCAGTTATGCACCTCTGGCAATAATGCCCTATTTCTGGATGGCCAAATGTCACAAGTCAAAAGAAGGAAGCCAATTTACATGCTTAGTGGTATAAACTTCGTTTGCTTAGAATTTCCTTCACTCTGGCGGTTACCCAACAGTGACTGATCAACACATCCCTTTTTTGATTTCCTCAATTCACTTTCCAAGTACAATGAATAAATAACCTCTTTGAATATATTTGAGTCACCCCTTAACTGGGGGTTCTCTGGGTGACACAGTTTAAATGGATACACAGTCATAAAACATAATTATGGCACAGCACTGAAATCCACCAGAACCACAACGCAGGGGACTTAACACACCTCTTCGCTGTCATAAAACACAGCAATCTTGACAGCAGATACTCAATATCAATAAAAGATGCTAGCACTATATTAAAGTGACTTTTTTGTAAATTAGAGGGTTTGTTTTAACCATCAAGCTGCCTTTTGCTAAATAAATAAATAACCAATTAAAACACTAAAAACCTTTAGTGAATAAAAGGACTTGTCTAGCACCAAAAAGACATTAAGCCAGGCAAGCCTTTCTAAGGAGTGTGTTCCAAAACTGAGAGGTGGGAGGGCACTGCTGAGAAAGCCTTCTCTGTAGCTTTCTGCACTTCAGAATAAGGAAGAACTTGGAGCAGTGGCTCTGCAGATGTTGGAGGTCAGGTAGAGATTTATGAAAAAAAGGTGGTCCTTTGGGTATCATGGTTCCAAGCCCAAATGTATGTGTGCTATATAACACTAGCCCGATTTGCTAGAGTCAGTCTTCTGTAGCTGAAATGAAGAAGAATGAAAAACTTCCACAATTCTTTCCTGATTGGAATTCCTGATGTGATTCTGACCAGCAAGTGGTTATTTGTAGTCTTCAAAAAAAAAAAAACATTTCTTGAAAACATCAAGTCCATTTCTGGTCTTACTTCCCATCACACCCCGATGGCTCAGACTGCTGGAAATATATATTTTTTTCTTAGAGAGACTTCAATTAGCTGGAAACAGAGCCAATTCCCACGCATGGTTTTTCTTCCAGCCGCCACTGCATGTGAAAAGATAACTCAGTACTCAACCTATGAAGGTTTTGCAGCAACGATCTATCAACTGTAAACTGCTCCTGCTCATCAATTGTATTCGCACAAGTGTTATGGATGTTTCATATGAGGTTTTCTGCATGTGTTCAACAGATATAAATAACCCTGATCAACACTCGTTTACCGCAAATTAAAGATATCCTAAGTGGTTCAGAACAATTAACCATAGTTGAGGAACCAGGACTTGGCCACAGATGATTGCATATTCCCACCAAGTGCTTCTTGGTGCAATGCATATACCATTCACAAACTGAATAAAAAGGGGTGTTAAACTCCAATGAAGAACCTGTTAAAAGAGGCAAGAAGGGAAAATTCATACAGCCAAGTAACCCAAGCAGCAGCTGCCGCCCCTCAATTCCTAAATTATGGTTGAATTCTAGATGGCACCGGCTCACCCTAGTATTGACAGCAGCCACAAATGACCTTTTAAAATTTAGAAAATCATATTTTAGCTGCTATCACTAGGACCTATAGATGTTCAATTCACCAGATTCCAAGGAGGTCCCACAAAACAGTCCGGAGTGTGTGTGTGCTTTTGTCTGTTGCTCACATGCCTAATCTACACCCTTGCAGTCCCAGGGTGTGGGCTGAAGGCCCATGAAAAAACCAATTTGTTGAAGCTAAGCAATTCTGCATTTAGTTAGTGTCTGGATATGGACTGGTTCCGTGACAAAAGAAAGGAATAATATAGATGTAAGAAAAGTAAATATTTAAGCATAGCACTTGACTCCAACCTCATTGAAGCCCTCTGGAAATAAAATGAGGCTGTTGCGCTTTATTCCTGCATTTCACTCATTTTCTGTATTTCATTAAGTTAACTTTCTGGGAAAGTTTCGTACGCAGACCACAAGGACACTTCTGAAAAACAGTCTCTGAAGTGTCTCAAGCCCAAAAGACCATTTTCTCCCTTTGGAAGAAGCTCCCAAAGCAGCTTTTCGTTTGGCACGCACAGTTTTAGAGGAATGGTTTTGGAAATTAGTACCTGCTAAGGTTGACCAGAACTTCCTGTTGACTCGCTATGTTTTTAGAAAGCCCCTCACCCAGTTAAAAGAAAACTTAACAAAGGTTCCGGATGCCATAAATGACTATATGTTTTTGCTATTCTGACGCTACCTGGCTAACTGAAAATTTAAAGTTCAAGTAATACAAATTCATTGCCAAAACAACAACTTAGCCCAAACATTTGTGTTTTGTAAGTATTTACTAAAAGCTCTAATAAGGCTATTTATGCTGGTACCCTGAATCAGAAATACTATTTTAGAAAAGACAATACATATTCCCTGAGAGTGGGCTGATTTTGAAAGGCTTGTTTATATGTACATCCTTACAATGGCAGGTCCAAATATGTAATCTAATATGGGAGGGTCCTATATGTGCACTCTTTGTGAGTAAGAATTTAATAACCAGTTATCTCTGCTTCAAATGGTTTCCAGAATCTCCTGACTCCACTGTGTTGGGAGGAAGACGAAAGTTGAGCGGTCAAAGGCAGTGTTTCCTTCTACCATAAAACTTTGGGGGAAATGTCTCAGGAAACGAAACACAAATTCAGTTGCGATTCTAAGCTTCAGATTCTAGTATGAGCACACAAAGGCCCTGATAATGGAGAATGACACATGTTTCAGTTCTACCCATAACGCTTGGAAAGCAAAGCTGGAAGGTCTATTACATATATATATCTGGGGTCACTAGACAGAATGGGTTAACTCCCAGAGCAGTAACTGTGGCAAATGTTTAAGCATCGGAGGAAGAAGAGCAAAAATGAGGGCACTCCTTTAAACATCAAAGGACCATTACGACCTTCCACGCGCGCCATCTGAATTTGAGAATGCTAATTATAAGGAGCTGTTCTCAAGAGCCTGTAGTAAATGGAAACTACTTTTAAAATTCACTGCTCTTGAAGCATTGACAGAGCTGCCACGAAGCAAATCCTTCAACAGTGATTTCCTTAGCAAGTTTCTTGGGAGTGTACAGAGGTGATAATAAGGTGCACAACGAAAGATGTGCAGACGAAAGATGTTTTTAAGCAGAATTTGACAAGCTGCAGTGATGAGCATCAGATTGTGCGCTACAGTTTTTCACATTTGCCTCCTTTCAGATATGCAACGCAACTCTCGGAAACCACCAGATAAAGTTTGGTCAGTTGCTACTGCCTGGTTAGAACTAGCCTCCTTTCTTGCTGGTGAAGAACAGGAAGTAGTAAGCATTACTTTAGGTCCAACTAAGAATTCACTGTTCTAGGAGCCTCAGTCATCACTTCCCAGAAAACCAAGGGAGACTTGCATGGGGAAGAACAAGCAGGATGTGTGCTTAACCCTTCTCACACAATTTTTCTCCACTTGGTGTGGCAAATGCGAAGCAGCTGTGGGATTGCAGAGGCAAGCATCTTTTTTCCTTGCTGTACACTGAAGCAGCAAAAACAGATTTCCAGACCTGTGTTCCACAGGAAACTGCAGACCTAAAACAAAAGATAGGAACAGAAGTGTATGCATCCCTCCCTATCTTAGCCCAAACAGGTCCTGTGGTATTTCAAGACTAACATTTACTGTAGAATGAGCCACAACGAGAACGAGACTGGAAGTCTTGTGTGGTCTCCTTTATTAGAATTCTCATAGTCTACCAATGTGTTTTACATTTACAACCCTGAGTGTGCATACTCAGGATTTATTAATTAAGACATAACTCATCTATGGTAAGTGACCTTCTGTAAACACTCTTGTTCAGCCGTAATTACTTTTGCACGATCAGACCTAAGCCCACTTAGTCCAGCATTCATAGAATTATAGATTTGAAAGGGATCCTGAGGATCATCTAGTCCAACCCTCTGCAATGCAGGGATATGTAGTTGTCATATGGGGATTAAACCTGCAACCCTGGCATTATCAGCACCACACTCTAACCAACTGAGCTATCCAGGCATTCTTTGTAAGGATGCCATCACTAAGCCAAAATTGGCCAGTAGTCCAAGATTAGGTTACAAGGCACCTTCTGTCCACCAATGGACAAAAGTCTACTTCATCATATGAAGTTTCAGGATGTCAGCTCATACAGAAATAGTTCCAGATGAGCAAGGGGGATTAACTATTAAGATTGTTATTTATTAAATTTGTATACTACCCTTCATCCAAAGATCACAGGGCAGTTCCCAACATAAAAATAAAAAAGAGAACGCAAAATGCATAATAAAGCAAAAACAAACCAATAACCCCCACTCCCACAAACACATTTAAATGTTAACAGAATATTAACCAGTCCCTAAAAGTACAGTGTTTTTCGCTCTATAAGACACACTTTTTCCCTCCTAAAAAGTAAGGGGAAATGTTGCGTGCGTCTTATGGAGCGAATGCAGACTGTGCAGCTTTCACTGATGCCAGGAGAGCAAGAGCGATTGCTGCGCACCGATCCCTCTTGCTTTCCTGGCTTCGCTTCGTTGGAGAGGCGCTGCGCAGCTTTCCCTCTCTGCTCAGCGCCCCTTCAGCAAAGCGGGAGGAGAAACAGGAGCCCCTTCCGTTTCTCCTCCTGCTTTGCTGGAGAGGCGCTGAGCAGAGAGGGAGAGAATATTTTTTTTCTTGTTCTCCTCCTCTAAAACTAGGTGTGTCTTATGGTCGGGTGCGTCTTATAGAGCGAAAAGTACGGTAGATCCATTACCAAGGGGGCATTAAAGCCAACTGCATTTGTATCTCACCTTTCCTCCAAAGAGAATGAAGGAGCAAACTATCATTTTCTCCCTCCGTGTTATCATCACAAGGACACTGTGAAGTTATGTCAAGAGATAAGGACTGGCCCAAGCTCACACAGTGAACTTCATGGTCAAGTGGCGGTTTGAGCCTGTATCTCCCCAATCCTACTCCAACACTCTACCCACTACATCACACTGGTGCTCTCTAGTGGTTCAGCACACTAAACTATTACTGGTTGTTGCTCTGCTTAACGAACACCTACTTCAAATGGGGTACTACAAACTTAGCCTACTCAGGGATAAGAAGTGTCAAATCTCTACTCCAAATGTCTCTCATATAAAGCATCAAGGAGGAGTACAACAAATTATGCATAGAAGAACAATGAAGGGCAACAGAACACCATGAAGTAATTAGAGAGACCCACCTTTTGTGACTATCCATGCTGTAAATTACTAGCCAGATAAAGAGTCAAGAGTAGTTCTGCACTCAGCCTTCACTTTCATTCATTCATTCATTCAATTTTCATGCCTTACTGACCCAGTAATCCACTTCCTCATTTCTCAAACTAGTAGCCTGTGTGGTTACTAGAGGTGCTTTCCCTGGATATGGTATATCATAAAAAGACACAAGGTATTTTTATGTACCAACATAACACTACACACCTAAAGTGATAAAGTACCTAATATCACCTTACTAAATAAAGAAGCTCGTGGCTATCAGAATTTAACACCATTTTAGTTGCTTTTAGGGCTGCAACATTTAATCCATTGGTTACGTTAACCCACTTTAGCACAAATGTGGAGGCTCCAAGTTGCTCTTTGGTGGTTCTTTTTGCCACTGTGCCATAGTTTGTCCATGACCAAGTTCTGACAATGCACTAAGACAAACTATGCTTTAGCTCAGTGCAGTGCAACAAAAAATGACCAGAGTCGCAAGCTCCTATTCAAAAGCCCACACATTTGGTTATGGTTTGGTTTAGCATTGAAATCATGGGGGGGCGGGGCTTCACTTCCTTCCATATCTGTCACTCTGAATGGGTGAGTCATGCCTGAGGCTCTCTGGAAAGCAGCCAGGACATCTTAGGATACCTCTTTTCCTGGACAGGTGTGCTTTCCAGCAATCTAAGGCAATTACTTACAAGAGAAAGCAGAGAGCATTCAGTTTACCAGTCTATCACTAGAGGCCAAGACAGCTTGCTTTTCTTTGTGAAACTGCACTTATACCTGCACACACAAACACACACAGCGTGAATCAAGTTGATTCACAAATGAGAAGGGGAAATGTCCTTCGACTCTGGTGCAAATGCACCCAAGACTTTATGAAATTTATTCAAAGTTTATTATTTGCAGTGGTCAAAACTCCCATTGTTCTAGGCACATTTTGCAACAGGGAATTTCATTAGCGCAAGAAGTTTCCGAGCTCTGTGCGCAGGACTGTGCCTAAGATTTCAGATTAAAGCTGTAGAGTGGAAGGATAGAAGGACCTTTTTCTGCCTCCCCACTTCCAGCTACTCTCTGAATACTGGAGAACAGACCCTCTTAAGAATATTGGGGGGGTGGGCAGGGGAAGGACTGGATCATGTGAAAAATGAACATAATATTTTAGCTGCAGTTCATTCATTTTCAGCTTTGTATTCTTATTAAAAAGGCACGCCTAGACGTTCCATTGTTGCACTCATCACCTAGGTTTAAGGTGCTATTTAGCTCCTAGCTTTCATATCTCAGTTTCCTGCACTGATTATTTGGAGTGGTCAGTGGAAGATGCCAAAGCAAAATTGTTAAGAAATGGGGATAAGAGTTTGGAAATATTTAATGCATTTCTAAAAGCAAATTTAGACTAGACTGTAACAGAAAAAACATATCCAGACATAAATTAAAAGGAAATCAAATTAAGTCAAAACAGGATTGCCAAAAATACAGGAATTTCAGATGAACAATGAAAAAATATTTTTTTGCAGCAGGGTGTTAACGTAAAAGAAAATTTCTACATGGTTTTGTGCAGTTGACATCACTCCTCAAAAGAAGATAAACTGAGAAGTCAGTAGTACCTGTGGAAACTTGCATCGCTTTTCCTTTTCCTTCACACATGGAGTTGTACAAACACTATACCTGGAAGAAGTCTGTAGCTCAGACAAGATGATTTGATACTCTATACTACCAACCTTTTATATACTTTACTTGGGCATTTTAAAGGAGTTATAAGATGTGAACATCTGGAGTTAGTAAGAAACCTCCTAACAGCAACAAAGATAATTATACCTACTAAGTGGAGACGATATAGTGGCATACAGCCTCAGTGGTTAAGTTAACAACTTTTGTTCATTTGAATAACTCTGGATACCAATTATTTATATGAAAATATAATGCTGATAACAAGTATCTGCCTTACTGGTGTGAAATATTGTTAAGATCCAGATTAACAATCTCTCTCTCTCTCTCTATATATATATATAGTTACTACGTTTGACTGTTATATATTATGAATTTATTATTTTCTTGCTATAGTTTAATTTGTTTTGTACATCTATAATTCATTAAAAATCAAGATTAGCTGGCTCAATTATTGTTAAAGATGGTCAATTGTAATGTAGTAGTTATTGCAGGTTTTTTTGTTATTGTCGAACTCTAAATAAAGTGTGTTTTTTAAAAACAAGATTAGCTGGCTCAGCTATGAAGACAAGGTTATTTTAATTAGGCTCTATGATGGTCAGTTCAAGCAAATAGTTCAGAGTACAGTTTGGCAGAATCTGAGCTTGTTGATGAAGCATCCTGTATTATCTGATATTTCCCCTTTAAATTTAAATGCAGTTATTTTAAAACCTTTTTTTCTGTTCTTCATAGGCTCTGGATAGGGGTTTCTGTCTAAGTTGAAAGTGGGGGGGGACAATTTGCAAGAACTCTGGAAACAGTTTTCCAATAAATAGCTTGAACCTTCAGGAGATAAATAAGCAACTTTGCGTTTTATCTTCACTGAGCAACAGCATATGACTTGTTTGTGACCACGTTTGAAACCCTTGGTTTGTTTTCCATGTTAGACTGAAGTTCTGCAAATGGCTTGATGTGAACCATATGACTGATTGCTAATTATGTCCCATAAATGTGTCTTTTAAATTTAGAAATGGAAAACCAGGAGTAAGATTAATTAAATTTCCAACTGCAGCTACCAAATGATCCACTAGTGTCAACAGGAGGGCAAAACATGGAAGAAGGTGACACAGAGAAACTCTATAGAAGTAAGCTAATGAGCCAGCAGCTTTATTGACTTTGTGATGTTTGGGTTACTTGCTTGCAAAGGAATTAGACTAAGATCTCAAGCATAGAGCTGTCAAACATATGGTCCAAGGACTGAATCCAGTTTGTTCTACACCATGGACTTTGGAGACTTTGCCAACTCTAATTTTAAAAAAGCAAGATCACTCCCATATGTTAAACTGGGAGTCTTGAGACCACATAAAAATGAAAGCTCGAAGAACATGCCACCCTACAGGATTATATTAGTCTTTTGAAAACCGAGTTGGTGGTTATTATTGTACTTGTCTACATTTAGAACAAAAGAACTGATTAGGGATAGTCATAGGTCTAGCCCAGGCATAGGCAACCTCGGCCCTCCAGATGTTTTTGGGACTACAATTCCCATCATCCCTGACCACTGGTCCTGTTAGCTAGGGATGACGGGAGTTGTAGTCCCAAAACATCTGGAGGGCCAAGGTTGCCTATGCCTAGGCTAGTGTCTCTTCAAGGAAGCCATACTTCTGACTTACCACCTGTAGTGGCTAACAAACCTGTGCCCAACATAAATAATTACTACTGAAAAGCTACTTATGGCAAGATGTCGTAACATCCCATGGCGTGGAATTCCATGAACTAGGATGTTTTAAAGTTAACTTCTATGTCACTCATCATGATTTTACCATACTCCAGTATCATCCACTCCACTTATTTATAAAATTTTAAAGGTTAAAATTATTATTTAAATAATTTGTCCAGTAAATAACAGTTGTAATAAATCACATCAAAATGCAAAATATTGTGCATCCGGATTTAACAGTCTTATGAGCATCTGTGCCTACTGAACCCCTTGAAGTGCTATTTAAATCCTGAGTGGGTCACTAGAAGATGAATACACCTTCTGATATACAGGCGATCCTCATTTTGCGTAGGTTCTGTTCCAGAACCCCACGTGTGTTGGTAGGGCCCGAGTAAAGCGTGCCATTCTTTCAGTAACATTTTCAGGTTCAGTGTTGTGTGCACATGCGCAATCACACACCAAGTGGAAACGCATAAATCAGTCATTGCCTGCACATTTACCTTTCAACCATGAAGAATACTTGCCACTTGTTTCTATATTTCTAACCTTTTAACAAAAAGGGCAACAATGTTTCCAAAGAGATTTTTATATATCCAATAACATCGTATCAATGAATTAATCTTGCCTACATTTTTTAACAGCCATAAATAATTTGCAATATAAAAGAGGAAACAATTCCTTTGCATAATCAACGGTGCCTCTTCCTCAGTAATACCTGATAAATATATAGATGAACAACTCTCTAAACACAATTGTATACCAATTTACTCAATCTGGGCTAACACAGTTCCTTCTCTTCTACTTTCTTTCTACTACCAGCTTCTATAACTGCCTTTTATAATGGACTTTGCATTCTAACAATGCTTGCACCTTAGTTATACTTATGACCTTCGACTGCTGTGAGTGTAACTTTAAAATGTGTGAAGTCATGAAGGAATCCGATCCTGGTGGATACCTGTGCTGCAAAGAATACTTTCCACTTCACCATACATGAAGCTTTCCTTTCTTATGCTGAGAGCACTAGAAGGATGTTCCAGAAATCCAAACAGAAGACAAGCAGACATTCTGGAACCAAAACAGACAAACTAAGACCCATTCATATCTTGAAAACGTAGTTTTATACCGCTGAAGCAAGACCAGTGCATAAAACTGTAGGATGGCATTTACACATGGCTAGCGAACTGAAGTGTTGACCAAGGAAAGAGTCAGTTAATATGTCTTTCTAGGAATACATATATCGGTAGAGCGAGAAATCTAGGTAATACAATTTAACTATCCCAGCTACTTCTTAAAAAGAAAATGTAGTTAGCTTAAAATACAGGCAAAATAAGGAAAGTAAACCCATGTAAAAAGGTATTTGTACCATTAAATACCTTGCCGAAGGACTTTTTATTTAGTTTAAGACTTAAATTGCTGTTTGCTTTGGCACTGATTTGTTTCTGATCTATAGAGTTCTTACCTTGGTATTGTAACACATTTTGTATTGCAATTTTGAGTGGTGATTGCTTTTTCAAGCTCATCCAGTTGTCCTGTCTTCTTGAGCTTCTTCACCAAACTTTTCACTGCTTTCTCACACCATTTTTCTTCCTGACCATTCTGCTCACCCCCACCAGCACCTCCTGAACCAGTGGCAGACTTCTTCCATCCCAACAGTCTCTTCACAACAGGTGGAGTAAACGGTAATATAGACGACATGGCCCAGATGTGGCTCAACTTATGCAATGGTTTAGCTGCCCTTTAGAACCTATGGAAAGAAGAAATCTATTAGAAGGTTTAAGGAAGAACACTGCCTGATCTTTCATCTAATCTAAACGGTTCTGACTACAGTACTTTGAGCACCCACATTCCCATTTGCACCTACTTGCTGAGGCTTAACTTCAACTGAAACCAGGAGAATATGCAAGAGAGCCCTATGAATGCTTTCTGACGGGTCTTACTCCACAGTAAATGGGCATAGAACTGTAGCATTTATTAGGCATAACTCATTCAGTTGTGCCTAAAAATGTATGCATGATTTGCTACAATTCACCAATCCTTGTAAACAAGTTCCCAAACAACATCCTATGCATCACTGCAAGCAACAGATTTAAGCAGAAATAAATAAAATGCTTTTCCTGAATTTCAGCTTATCATGTCTATTTTGCAACTACGGGAGACAGATTTTTCCTTTGAAGTGGTGTTAAAAATACTAGAATGGTATGGCAAGGGTGTCTTCTGGTAATTCCAATACATGTTGGGAAGTTCTTTTTATACATTTTAAATAAATTCTAAAACTCAAGAGTAACAGGGGGGAAAGGTTGCATATTTCTGTGTCAAGGCCAGCTACAAGAGTGCTGAATGTGTGCATAATGCTTTGTCACAGCGCAATGTGCTAGCCACTCTCAGCAAAGTCCATTATCAGAGTCTCTGTATTCATTTAACTGATTACAAAGCTCAATCAATGAGGATAAGTCTGAAAACAAGTTTCTGGTTTTCATGACTGCAGTTACATTTGATTATGTGCAATCTTTGCAAACGGTTGCAGTGTCAAGACACCACAAGCTTCTACACCTTCCTCACACATCTCTCCTGTTCAGAGTTTATTAGTTGTTTGCAAAAAAATTCAGGAGAAACCTCAGCTATTGGGATTTAAATAGAGCATGGAGATCTGGTTTATTCACACAACAAGAGAATGCAGAATTCAGTCCCGAGGACTAAGGTTTAATTAACTGCAGAATATGAAATCTGCTGTATAGCACTGAGAATTATGCAACTACTCATCCTTCTTCCCCACTCCTTTGGCAAGCATGGCAATTCCCTGTTTTCCTCCTCCTCTTGAAATTGGGGGGGGGGGGAATTGCCCTGGGGACCTTGCATCTATGTCTCCCAAGCTCAGTGTAAGGATAGGTACAAGATCACACCTCTCCCACGATGCAGAGGCAGTGGAGGGTCATCAAGACCACGTTTTTGTGAATGTCTGATTTTGTGAATGCCTGATCTGTGGCAACATCTCTATTCTTCCTGCCATTAGGGCCCACTCTATTGGATTGCAGAAAACATTTGTATCATGAAACCTCCTGTCATCACCCAAAACTACACAGGGGCAGGTGCATTCAGAGTAAAATTGATGTTTACCCTTTAGTAAAAGAAAGCGATGTCTTTAAATAACAGATTTCTAATAAGTTTTGTTTTATCTTTAAAAAAAGAAGGGGTGGGTGGAAGGAAATCTGTTTTTCTAACGTTGAGGAAGAAATGGACTCTTTCTACTCGGGTGCTGCAGGTGACTCTAGAAAAGCTTGAACTTGGTATTAGACAAAACAGTGCCAAATCAAGCTTCTCCTGCAAGTGCTCCAGTAATAGGGCGAAAGAGGAAGACAGAAACACAAGCAAGGCCCCAGCTTGCACTTCTCTACACAAGCACGGTGAGGAAAAATGGAAGTTGGGAGAAACCAGCAGAATGCTGAACGGAAGGGACCCCTTTGTTCAGGAATCTCAGCTAAAGCATCCATACCAGATGGCCTTCCAACCTCTGCTTAAAATGTTCCAAAGGCGAGTCCACAACCTCCCAAGGAAGTCCACTCCACTGTCAAACAGCTCTTACTGTCAGAGAGTTCTTCCTGATGTTTAGTTGGAAACTCCTTTCTTGTAACCAGTTCTTTTGCCAACTACATCCACTGTGCTAAGTTCTATCCAACTATTCAACTGGCGACAAATGGGGCAAAAAAGTCCAAGCAGCAAAACCAGCTCAGCTCTGACACTACTACTTAGCAAAATTAAAAGGGACAGCTTTCCTGTTTGAAGAAATGCTCTCATGCAAAGCATCTTGAACTGACTAAACACCCTGCAGTTAAAATTCCAACATAAAATCAAAATGTTTATAAAGGCCTTAACACAGCTATAATGAACACCATATATTAGATTTATAATGCATCTGAGAACATGCAAGACGGCCGAGGCTCACTTTAAAGTGAGATGCAACTTGCTAATGCTACAAAGCACCTCATTTCTTCAAGGGAACTGCACTTTGCATTCATTCTTTACCAAAATGAGGATCAAGTTTAACAGTACCATAACATTAGGAAAGATATGGTTATCTTTCCAGTAAAGACTAATTTAGGGGTTCTGTTGGGGAATTAATCCTCATAGAACCTATTTTCATTCATCCCTGTGCTGTGAAAGAGCAGGTTCCATCTGTAAGTTGGATATTAATAGGAACATACAGTCATACCTCGGGTTGAATGTGCTTCAGGTTGAGTGCTTTCGGGCTGCGCTCCGCGGCAACCCAGAAGTAACAGAGCATGTTACTTCTGGGTTTCGCCACTTGGGCATGCACAGAAGCTCAAAATGATGTCACATGCATGCGTGGAAGTGGCAAAACGCAACCAGCACACATGCCCTCGCGTCTCGGGTTCTATTCAGGATGTGAACGGGGCTCCAGAACGGATCCCGTTCGCATCCCGAGGTACCACTGTATATATAAAATGGAAAAGCATTTCAGACTCTCTATGGCTTGAACTGGGATTATGGAACCTTTGTCTGATTCAAAGACTAAATCATTCCTCCATCATCAGCTTGGTCACATACAGAGTTCATATATGCTGTATGCTTCTCAATGACTATACTGTACAAAGGTAAGAGTCACATTACTTCACCTACTTTTTGTTTCTTGAGCAGCTTGTCACTGGCATGTGGGCCCCAGAAGCTTCTTCATAAGAAAACGTGGCTAAAAAAAGGGGTCCTTCCCTCCTCCCAGCCCCAGTTTAGAAAAAAAGGCATCGGAGGTTGGGCATCAGAGAGGTTTAAGAAATTGTGCATGGTGTAGAGAAAGACACCTTTTTCCACCTCTCATTACTACTTGAACACAGGCTCATCCAATGAAACTGATGGGCAGAGATTCAGGACAAACAAAAGAAAACACTTCCTCACAAAGCACTCCCATTTATGAAATTTGAAGCCACATAATGTGCTGATTGCCACTTACTTATTATTACTTTTAAAAGGCGGTTAGATGAATTGGAGGATGTGCATTAATGGTTAAAGTCATGAGAATTATATGTGAATTCCAGGCCCTGAGTCCCTCAGATCCCGTTTATAGACTTTCCACAAGAGTGAAACAGGGTGTTGGCCAAGCTGGATTCAGAATTGAGTCCTCATGCTCTGGACCAGTCTCCCCCAACTCAGTGCCTTCTAGTCATTTTTTACTACAAATCCCATCAACCCCAGCCACCATGGTCATACAAAACAAGTTGGGAAAAGACTGGTTTTAACATTTATCCACCCGGTCTGTTAAAACATCTAATGAAACCTGAAGGTTCCTGTCATGGCAGTAAACTAATCAGCTTTAAAATGAACCAAAAAAGGTACCACAGCAATTACTCATTTCTATTAAAAACACTTGAGGCGCTGATCAGTGTTACATATTCCAATTAACAGCCAGCAATGGAATACAAAGCAGAAATAGCAAGACCACAGATATTGCATATCCACCAATAACCCAAGAAGACTAAAAGATCTTTAATGTTCTCACCCCATATTTTTTCATTATTTGAGCTAAGGGCACTGTGCATAGGGGTTACTCTATTTTTCTCTCTCTTATCCTTACACAACAACCATCTGAGATACATTAGGCTGAGAGTGTGACCCAGTGTGTCGGTGTGTGAAGTCAGGTAACACAGTGAGGTCCACGAACAAGGACAATTGGAATTCAGGTTCCCTAGCCCAACTCCAGCACCAAAAGTTAACCCATGAAGGTCCAATTAGAAAGTAAAATTTGGTATCTTCGGGAATAAGGGAAACACACAGAAAGGTTTGGAGAACATCTCAAATGGAACAAGAAACTTCATGCTGTAGGATGGATAACAAGAGATGAATAGAAGGAGCCCTTGACCACATGGGCATACTACCAGCGTATGTCGCATTTCCTCCCTGCTGAATATAGTGCTGGAGCATTCTCTTTTAGCAGACTCAGCAGCTCAGAAATACCCTTCAGCTGCTAAGCAGAGACAAAATTATTTGATCATTCAAGCTGCCAGAACATGAGGGCTCCCAACTCTGAAGAGCAAATAGAACATTTCTTGGATTATTATAGACCAGTGTTTCCCAACCTTCTTCCTTTTGACTGAGGCCCCCTTTCGACCTTGTTTCCTTCCTGTGGCCCCCCGCCCTTTCTATTGGTAGAAAGGTAGCTATTTAAATGTTTTGTTTGTAAACAGAACATTTTTTATCTGTAAGTTTTATAATTTATGCAAAATACATTTACATAAAATGAGAGAGCTAGAAGGGATCCAAATGGTCATTTTTCTAGTCCAACCCCCTGCAACGTAGAAAACTCAGCTAAAGCATCCATGAGAGATGGCCATCCAACCTCTGCTTAGAAACCTCAAAGGAAGGTGAGCCCAGAACCTCCCAAGGGAGTTCCATCTTCTATGTATTACAAAAATTAAACACTTATTTGACCCCAGTTATTTGACCCCTAATAAAATTGCCTCTTTCCACATAGGTACCAACCTGAAGGCAATCCAAAATTCACTGAGGAGGCCCTTTTGTTTGTACCACCACCAAATAAAGTCCAGGCTGCAAGACTCAAAACAGGACTTCTCAGTGGTGGAACCCTGATTGTGGATTCCTCTCCTTCCCCAACTTCAGGCAGGCACTGACAACAGTTGGTTTTTGGCACCAGGACTTTTGAACTTTGAATACTGGAGAAGGACAGATGGAGGAATGTTAGATACAGAATTAAATTCTGAATGTTAGCTGATAATTTTTTTCAATATACCATTTTATGTAGTTTTATATGTTGAGACCTGACCTACAATGTAAATTTTACAAATAAATAAAATTAAAATTAACACCCGAAGGGTCACAGGTTAGCTACCTCTGGCTTGTACAATAAAGCAAATATAATTTCTGATGTACTTCAAAGCTGGCCTTAAACTATCATGCAGATCTGCAGACCACAGCCACAAAATGTAGAAAGAGAAGGGTATAAATAGAAAGTAGCATAAAAAGGGAACTGGTTTCACTAGTGCTCTCAAAGCGTTCAAACTGCCTTTGTTATAATAGTCACAACGTACGTCAAAAAGAGAAACCATTTGTTCACTTTTACTTCTTGGTCATTTATGGGGCAGAACGACATTCTTATCAAGTATCTATAAACCAGAACAAACCAACAACTGAAGTCAACAATTTGCCTCATCAATCCACAGACTTCAAAAAATATTATTTTAACTTTTAGGCACCTCTATTTCTTGTAGTCGACCAGAGATCACAAATACCACAACTACTTTCTACTTCATGGAACAACTAATCCTATCTCATGACTTGCAGCAATTCAGTTTAACAGGTCAACAATTACAAATATTCTAACAAAGTATGCTTTGGTATTGTCTTGTGGATTTAGAATATAAGTAATTAAATCCAATTTGAAAAGCAGAATTTACAGCTCACTTCGCAAGTCAAACCCTTAAAGGGATGCTTCCAATTACAGAATTTACATGCATGGTCCAATAAGGTAATACAATGTACATCTGAAAACCCTTAAATTGTTTAAACAATAGCCCAGTGTACAAAACCTGGTATAAACTTTTCTGCATTCATCTACAGCAGACATAGGCAAACTCGGCCCTCTAGATGTTTTGGGACTACAACTCCCATCATCCCTAGGTAACAGGACCAGCGGTCAGCGATGATGGGAATTGTAGTCTCAAAACATCTGGAGGGCCGAGTTTGCCTATGCGTGATTTACAGGCACTGTTCACATGATTAAAGGACAATACTTGATCCAGATGCCACTTTTCCAGAAATAAGAGAGGGAACCTAGACATGGTTATAGATTCCGATACTCCCATTAAGGTTTCTTTTAAAATAATAATAATAATAGTAATAGTAATAATAATAATAATTTTATTGTTTATACCTTACCCATCTGGCTGGTTTCCCTAGCCATCCTAGGCAGCTTACAGCACATATAAAAACATAGTAAAATTATATCATAATTATTATATCATTCACCAACAGTGTAACAGTAAAACTTATGCCTTTTCACATTTAGCCAACAGAATATCCACTTACACTACACTGTATTATCAAGTTCAGAATGCTATCACCACTTTGTGTCCCATATTTCCCATATTTCTCAGTGCCTCTCTTATCAAAGCGAAGAATTCCAGGATGGCCATTAACCAGTTATCTCAGAAGTGGGAAAACAAAGCAAACTAGGAGTGAAATAGTGGGGAAAACAGAAGCAGATAAGTCGCAGCTGGTGTACTCAAGTCACTTCTCAGTGGTAATAAGAGAGGGGAAGGTTAGGGTGCATATTATAATTGGAAACTTGGCTCAAAATAATGAGCATCACTCTAAGGTGCAAGTGGTCAGCATTCTATAACTCCAGACACTCACACTGTAAAGAAACTATATTTTTGGTATTGCAAGGTCATTTGTATGCAAACCTCTTACAGTTTAAAAGACTTTTTTCCTCTGTGAACCAGAGTGCTATAATAAAGAATTTGTTAGTTTTTTAAAGAGCACTGACCATGCTATTCACAGGGCAATAGATGGCCCCACTCGCCTATTCACATTTATTCCTCACTCTCCTCCCTTCAGCATGAATGACAATTCACAGGACCTGCTGCATCCTATCCTCTTTCCACACTATTAACACATCCTGGCCTCTTGGTGTGACAATACACAAGAGGATGCCCCCCCCCCATCATCACAAGGCTCAAATGTTCATTGCCATTTGCGAGAAGGGTGAGGGTTTTCACCCCTGAAATTCAGTATTTATCAACTGCTGCTAAGATGGCAGAGATAAATGCAGCCCAACACAGCCTCTATCTTCCTCCAAACCCCTCAAATAACTGGAATAGAGAGGCCTGCTAAATATACTTGTAGTCACAGGATAGGCTGGCAAAAGAGCCCTGGAACAACTCAGTAAGGCCCAGAGTCCATAACAGGGATAGCTAACTTGGTGTCCTGCAACTGCTGTTGGATTACCAACTCTCTTCGTAACTGCTTATTCCTCATGCTGGGTGGGTGGATGGGAATTACCTCTGCAGGTCAACACACCAGCTAACCTCAACGCACAGCAAGTCTGACCTTTTGCACTGCATTTCTGTTGTCTACAGTGCCTACATTTAAGAATGCATGTAAAGAGAACACTCATAAGAGATATACAGTGCAGTCATACCTTGGATCTCAAACGCCTTGCGAGTCGAACGTTTTGGCTCCCAAACGCTGCAAACCCAGACGTGAGTGTTCCGGTTTGCGAACATTCTTTGGAACCCTAACGACCAGCGGGGCTTCTATTTAAGTACTGAGCTACTGAAAGACCATAACTCTTAATCCTCGTAGATGTCACGTGAATTAGGGGCCATCACTGCATCCCATGGTACGGAACTCAATAATTTAATAATGAACTGTGTGGAAAAGTGCTTCCTTTAGTTTGTCCTAAAACTAATTCAAATCAATCTCCTTGGTGATCTGAAGTTCTAGTATTATGTGAGGGGCGGCCCTCACTTAACACTGTGGGTAGTGAACACACCTTGCTGTCTGCTGCAGTTGTGAAACTAGACTAAACACATGATTAAAGCAGTTATCAGGTGCTCAGGGATGTCATTACTCACAATGAAGCAAGGAAGCCTCATTTAACATGGCAAGGACAACCACCACCTCCTCTAGACTCTACACTGCACAGGTTGCACAGATGTTCTGTCCTTCCAAAAGAAAATGTGGCAAAAGCCCAACTCTACTCAGATGACAAGTTTGCTTAGTGAGATCCTGTACTGCTGCTTCCCTTCTTTCCAGAGTGATCCATCTAGTAGATCCGAACAGTCTCAACTTCTATACAGCCTCTTTGCAGCCAAGTGAATACTTACTGGAACATAAATTGCACCTTATGTGATGTAAGGAGCTTTCATCTCAAAAAAGCACATCCATATGCATAAGAATTACTTGATATGCTATAGATAAGGGAAAAGCAGGTGGCAACAGCTCAGATGGGGCAGAATATTGTTTTTAGCCTTCTCCTTTCCTACCCCACTTGACAGCCACCCCTTCAGGCAGGAAATGAAAAGAGAGGTCTCATTTCCTGCTTCAAGTAGTGTCTACCAGGTGTGAAGCCACGCCTCTGCCACAGCATTTAACAAGGTCCAACCACCATATTAACAAAATTTTGTTGAGGAAACAGCCTAGGCTGAGCCAGGCAAAAATTAGTTCAAGCTAACTGTTCAATTCTTCCCTAGCCTTCTGCCTGCGGGAGATCCAGATTCTCTTCATCCGAAATCTGGGACTGGGTGGTAGTGATGGGCATCACAACAAAGTCTTGGATCACCAAAGAGCTTAACTGGGCAAAATCAGCTCTGCAAGTGAAGAACTTTGCCATTCTTGCCTTGGGCTGTGTTTCCCAACAAGAGATAGCCACAACAAATGCCCCCTTGTTACTGGTGATGCATCAATGACAATCAAATTGCTACTGTGTCAGGGCAACAGCCACTCCCTTGATTTATTTGTAACTGTACACAGTGCCAACTTTTTTTTGGGGGGGGAGGGAGAAAGAAAACGTACCATCACCATTTGTTTAATACCTCTAGCATATGGCTACATTACTAAACTACCACTACATTTCCAAAGTCAGGCATGCCAATATTCCTACCAAAAAACACTTTGATACTTGGCAATGTGAACTAGGATATTAAACGACTAGTGGCAAATATGCACCACAGTAACTACCCATACAGATTGTTCAGTATTGTGCCTAAATGCACCATAGATGCAGACAGTAATGCTCAATTACCGTTGTTGTTGGCTTTTTTGTCCTTGGAAATACAACATATTTAAAGGAATGTGGACAATCTCACTGTATCAGTAAGAACAAACTATTGTCTCTTAATGGTTCTCTCTCATTTAGAACCAAATAATCTCTTCTAATAGTACTGACTATATGCATGGGTTTGTAGTATCTTAAGAATTTCACATTGAACTTCACATTGAAGCAGCTCTCTGGATAGACAACTGCCATCTGAGGAATTTAAGAGTACTGGTAAGATTGCAAATTTAGACTTCCCATCAAGTACAGAGTAAGAAGTCTAGTATAATAACCTCCTCTTTCCACAGCACTTTTTAAAATACACAGGTGTCAAATACTGAAGTGAGAGTCATTTTAGCTAAGCTCTTGCGAGTAACTGCTTGGAGGAGGTGCAAATTCACACATGCCCCCTTCTCTGACATGATTACTGCTCAGCCAAATAGGCCTCTCACATGAGCATTTACTTGTGAGAGTGAGTCAGTGAAGATGAAACTTGCAAAAGTCTAGGTAGCTCAGTATTTCTCTTGAATCAAGATATGCAGAAGATATCTCTGTAGTTAGAACAAAATTAAGCACAAGAATTGTTTTCCCCACATTATTTTACTAAATCCATTATTTCCTAATGAAGAGAGCAGTAATCAGCTCCTTAGGTTGCAAGCTCTGACCCAATCCATTTGTAAAAGCATCAAATACGAACATGCAGTATAATCCTTTTGGCACTCATAAGGACATCCTGAAAAAACATTTCCAACAATCCTGAATACAAATCAATCTAGACTAATAAGTGAACATAGGCATATAGATTGAAATTAGAATCTTACACATTTTGACAGCTAAGTAAGAGCACCTAAAAATTTTAACGGAACACCTGACTCCTGCAACTCAGGATTAGGTAGCGTGCTGACACCTGGTCTCAATTCCCAAATTAACAACAGATTAAAAACAGATTCTCCTCATGGCCTGGGGCAAGTCTACTAAGGCTTCAACTATCAGCAATGTACCTTAACAGGGTTATTGCAAGGTCAAGCAAGCATTTGTCAAATACTTTTAATGTGTGAAATACTATTTTAAAAACATTCTCCTGCCCTTCAGAGTGCACAAAGCCAATACTCTTGTGAGAACAGAAATTTCCAGAAGAAGTTATGAAAATTTACAAACTGGGGGGAAAGCAGTTCACCTCATCTTCAGACAATGCTGTCTTGCAAATATACCTAGGAAAGTTAGAGCGCAAAGAAAGATTTACTAGCCCACCTTGCCTAACAGGCCTAGGTAGTCCATTTCTATGCATGTTGGCTCAAAGTCGATCTCACCAAGTTCAGTACTTCCAACTTAACTAATGTAAAGCTTCACAGCTTAGTGAGTACTTGTAACAAGACAAATAGCAACTTACAAATAACATTAAGGCAACCTTGTAAAACCACAATACATCACCTGCTTTTTGCTATTAGAACTCATTTTAAACAACAGAACTTTCAAAAGATTACTTCCACTCCACTGCAAGTCATTCAGTTCTTCTGTACGTCCCTCACTCCTTTGCCCAGCATGCCTATTTAAATTAAATTCTTTCAAACAGATGTTTGCTGCTTGCCACATGAGTGCATAACATGTTCACAACCTTGATCACAGCAGGTGCTCATAAGTGTGTTTTTCTAATGCGTGCACTTCTGTATTTTATTTACTGGATTTATTTATATCCTGCCCTTCACCACACAGCAATTCCAAGGCAGGTTACAGTAAAAGTAAAACCACAACAGTCGTTAAATAACAAAAATAAAAATTTAAAATTCACAGCACATAATACTCAAGCTGTTCCTGCAACAATACACGGCCGCAACCTCACCTCTAATCTCATACTTAGTATGATAATCAAGACTTTGTACTGCACAAGGCAGACAAATTACTCAGGAGCACAACTTAGCTCAACAGAAATGCACTTCAAGTACATTACCTTTTACAATCAGAATCAGCCTTTCCTGTATTACAAGAACAAATCTAACCCACTCAGCAGTAAGTTAGCCTGAAGAAACTCACTTGTGTATGACCCAGCAGCCTTGACAAGAATACCAGCAATTCCCAGAAGCCTCCCATGTTGACTGTCATGGCATACAGTGCTGCACACCCCAGTCCCAATCTTTTACACATCAAATCATGTACACTGCCTTTTACAATATGGTGTGCCTGCAGATGTGACCAGCATCATATTGTTGGCTCTTTAACACACCTTGTTTCAGAAAGCCTCAGCTTTCAATTTTACAACTTGTGATTAGTGCAAATGGCAAAGTGCTCAACTTCTGTGTTTGCAGAATGTATAAACACTTGTCCTAATCTTGTTTTTAATGGAACCCTGGAGATAAAAGAACTCATTTTCTCTATTTAGGAAGAGATGTTAGAAATACAGTTCTCAGTCTTATTGCTTGTTCACTAGAAGGGTGCAGGGAACAGAGAAACACCAACATTAAGAAAGGACTGTCCTAAAAATCTTATTTTGGACATTTCCTTCCTAATATTGCTGCTTTTTGTAGCACAAGTTTGAAGTAAATACTTTATTCTCAGCTGCTTCTCTACTAAGAAGAATTGTGGGAGGGGGAATTTCACCTTTTTCACCCCCACGACTGCTAAAAAAATGTTGATGGGCTTTTGCTGACTCTTCCCTCCATCCCTCCACTCCAACAACAGAAAGTGTACACAGCAATCCTTGGCACACTGAGAAGTCAATCTGTGCAACCTTTTAAAATACGCACATGGTTGTAAGGAAACACAGAATTCTGCAGCCGCTTGAATTTGCTTGCCTCTTACCCAACTAACAGCATCTAAGGAAGAGAGATAAAGAATAAGTGGGTAATCCTAACCATGTTTACTCAGAGGTAAACCCCATCAACTTGCGGCGGAACCGACTCCTTAGTAACTGCGCCTAGGGCTGTAATCCTTTCATGCACACATTACTCAGGGGGTGGGGAGGGGAAAGCCTGAAGTCGCAACAGGGGCTTACTTCCGAGCAAACACGCCTTCCGAGGTCGGCGCTCGCACAAACTCCCCGCGTCCACCAACTCCCAGGCACGTCCGCTCAGCTGCTGCTGCTTTGCTTTGCTTTGTTTTCGAAGTGGTGGGGCTCGAGGACTTGTTCACCCCGCTCCTCCGGAAAGTTAAAAGCACACAAACACAAACACACACCCCTGACTTGAGCTGGGAGAGGACCCCCGGCGGGTGCTGGCTCCGAAGCGCACGCGCGCAACGGGGAAGGAGGGAGCGGAGCAGAGAAGGGGCGGCGATCCCACGCGCGTTTCCCACCTTGGGAGTAATGAAAAAGAGCGGGGGGGGGCAAAGCTGATTGAATAGAAGGGGGTGCGTGTGGCCTGGCTGGCTTCCTTCCTACTAAGCTTGGTCAGAGGAGAGGGGGGGCGCAGAGTACCAGCAAACAATCCTCCTCCCTTCAAAAGCCCCCCCCCCGAAGGAAAGTGGGGTCTTTTGAGGGGCTGGGTGGCAACACCATCACCTTCCTCCTTCTCCCCTCCCCCACCCACCCGGAGGAGGCCTCCCCTCCCCCTGCCGCAGCACCGCCTACTCCCACCACAACAAAGCGAGGGAGCCACCCCCCTCGCGCAGCCCAGGCCGCGGGGCCTAGGCCGCTGGGCGCCCCCCGCCCGCCCTTCCGGGACCCCCGGCCTGGGCGCCCCCTCCCCTCCCGCCGCCCCTCGACCCGCCGCCGCCCCGCGTCCCCCTCAGAGACCAACCTCCTCGCCCCCCGAGCTGCGCCTCTGCCACCCTCGCTCCTTCTCTCGCTGGCAGGCCCCTCTCCCTCTTCTCACCCCCCCCCTCACCGCGAGCTCGCCGCTCCGCGCCTGCTATTGGCTGCCGGGAAGAGGCCCCTCCCGCGGCGCACCTCATTGGTCGCCGCCGCCGCCCGTCCGGGGGAAGCCGCGGCGCCGAGTGGGTAAGGAGGGACGGGAGGGGAGGGGTTTCGAGCGGCCACGCCTACTCCTCCTCGGCCCCTCCTCCCCTCCCGCTCTCTCTTGCTGCCTCAGCTCTCATTGGAAAAGCGGCGAGTGGCGGCGCCGGCCAATCGCCTCGCACGCAGGGCGCGCGGCGTCGAAAGGGAGGCGGGAGGGGAGGGAGAGGCGCCGCCCTCGCTAGGGACGGGAGGCGCCGGCGCATTGGTCCAGGCGGGTGTCAGCTTGGCCCTCCCGCCTGTTGTCGGGCTGCCTCCCCGTATTCTCAATATTTGGGGGTTGGTTGCGCCAAGGCGGGTGGGGGGTGGGAGAAATTGGGTTGAGCTGCAGAAGCACTAGAGGTGGAGGGAAAGGAGGTCGGCGGAGAACTCCTCCGCCAGATGCGCTTCGTAACCTTCCGCGCGGGAATTGTCTCTCTGGCAGCGGGAAATAGGCCCCGAGCTCCGCCACGTCCTAAAAGCAGAGCAAAACAACACAGTTACATACAGTTTCTCAGCTCCCCTTAATAAAAATAAAGACATATTTTAAACACAATATGCCACAAAACACAATCCATTCCCGCCCCCTCAGCCTGGCTCTGCACACGCCCAACATCACACCTGTGTGTGAGGTAAAATTTCAGAGACTGCACAGAATTAGGCCTTCAGAACAAAATATGGTTTAAGAGTGTAGCTGAGGGAATGAACTGTGGTTTGTTTGTTTTTCTGTGAGGGGAAAACTTGGCTGTTGAAGAACCATTTCCATAATCGCAGTGTGTGCGGTCAGGTCTGCCAAAGTGTGGATGGAGGCAGATGAAGAAGCGCCCTCAAAATGTATCACTTAGGGATGTTGTAAACGGAATAACGCAGGGCCGGGAATCTCTGGCCCTCTGAACATTGTTGGGGCTCCCAGCGCTCTTCTGCCTCAGCCAACATCCCCCAAGCGGTCTAAGTCCTTGCTCCCCCGGCGACTCATTGACTGAGCTTGTTGAGGGCTGGAATACCCAGCTCCTGGCAGCCATCGATGAGATCGCACCTAAGCGCCCTCTGCAACTCCGCAGAAACCGGGCTCCCTGGTTTACCGAGGAGCTCCGGAAAATGAAGCGGGACCTCAGACGGCTAGAGCGAGTATGGCGGGGTGCCCGTGACGGAGCCTCAAGAACATCTTATAGGGCTTTTATGAAAACCTACGAGATGGCAGTGAAGGCCGCTAAGAAGTCCTACTTCTCGGCCTCCTTTGCATCCGCTAGCTCTCGCCCGGCGCAATTATTTAGTATAATTCAGTCTTTAACGTCCCTCGAAGGACAGCCAAATTTAAATAACAATTTGACACACAGCTGTGAGGCATTTGCGAGCTTTTTTGCGGAGAAGGTCCTGTTGCTCCGCCATGACCTCCCTGCCAATTTGGATACAATAAAGGAACTGGAGGCCCCTCGACTGTCCTCGGGTCCAGTATTGGACCACTTTGACCGGATATCCCCAGCTGATGTGGACAGACGCCTCCGAGCTGGAAAGCCCACCACCTGTCCTCTTGACCCGTGCCCGTCTTGGCTGATTAGAGCGTGTCCAGACGAGGTGCGGGCCCCCCTGGGGGATATCATCAATTTGTCCCTTGGCACCGGGACATTCCCAGGGGAACTGAAGGAGGCAGTGGTGTGCCCGCTCTTAAAGAAAACATCATTAGATCCCTTAGATCTATCCAATTACCGCCCAGTTTCGAATCTTCCATTCCTGGGTAAGGTGATTGAGAGAGCGGTTGCTGAACAGCTTGGTAGGTTTCTGGATGAAACATCGGCTCTGGATCCATTCCAGTCCGGCTTCCGCGCTGGTCATGGGACCGAGATGGCTCTGGTCGCCCTAACAGATGATCTCCGCAGGCAGCTGGATCGAAGCGGGTCGGGGCTGCTGATTCTTCTAGACCTGTCAGCAGCCTTCGACATGGTCGATCACGAACTCCTGGACCACCGCCTTGCCGACGTGGGGATCCAGGGCACAGTCCTTCAATGGCTGCGCTCGTTTCTCTCTGGTCGGGGACAGAGGGTGGCGCTTGGGGGGGAATTGTCATCCCGCCACTCCTTGGTGTGTGGAGTGCCCCAGGGTGCGATACTCTCCCCGATGCTTTTAACATCTTTATGCGCCCCCTCGCCCAGCTTGTCCGGAGTTTTGGGCTGGGCTGCCATCAGTATGCTGATGACACCCAACTCTATCTGTTGATGGATGGCCATCCTGACTCGGCCCCAGACACACTGATCAGATGCTTGGAAGCTGTGGCTGGATGGTTACGTGGGAGCCGGTTGAAGTTAAATCCTTCAAAGACAGAGGTCCTCTGGCTGGGACGGGACGATATGGGATTGAGAGGGCAACTCCCATCTCTTGCGGGGGTGCAATTAGTGCCAGCACCGTCCGTTAAGAGTTTGGGTGTAATCTTTGATACCTCCCTTTCCATGGAGGCGCAGATTGCAGCTATAACAAAGGCGGCATTTTTTCATCTCCGCCAAGCTAAGCAGTTGGCTCCTTACCTCTCTCGCCCTGACCTAGCCACTGTGATCCACGCGACGGTCACCTCCAGACTGGATTATTGTAACTCGCTCTACGTGGGGCTGCCCTTGAGACTGACCCAGAAACTCCAGCGGGTGCAGAATGCCGCAGCGAGACTCCTTACGGGGTCTTCGCTGCGAGATCACATTCATCCGGTGCTATACCAGCTGCACTGGCTCCCGGTGGAGTACAGGATCAGGTTTAAGGTGCTGGTTTTAACCTTCAAAGCCCTATACGGCCTAGGACCCTCGTACCTACGGGACCGCCTCTCCTGGTATGCCCCACAGAGGAACTTACGGTCTTCAAATAAAAACATCTTGAAGGTCCCAGGCCACAGAGAGGTTAGGCTGGCCTCAACTAGAGCCAGGGCTTTTTCGGCTGCGGCTCCAACCTGGTGGAACGCTCTGTCACAAGAGACAAGGGTCCTGCAGGACTTGACATCTTTCCGCAGGGCCTGCAAGACAGAGCTGTTCCACCAGGCCTTTGGTCAGGGCGCAGCCTGACTCCCTTCTTTGGCAATCTTTACAAAACTTTAGTTTATGGTTGCCATCAATTTTGATTTTAATTAATTTTTATAATGTTTTTATAATGTTGCACTATTTTAGTGTTGTTAGCCGCCCTGAGCCCGGCTTCGGCTGGGGAGGGCGGGATATAAATAAAATTTATTATTATTATTATTATTAAGTCGAGCTGGAGCTGAAGTCCAACAACATCTGTACATCTACAAGTTTCCCACCAAAGGGAGGGAGACAACAACAGTCATGGAGATCAAGTGTGCGGCCTAGCTCAAAGGTGTCTCAAAAATAGACCTCAGGTCAAAAGAACAGAAGAGAAGTCTAATGGATCAGGCCAGTGACCAACCTGGTCCAACATCCCGTTCTCAAGATGACCAGTGGCCAACCTAGCCCTGCATCTGTTCTCAAAATGGCCTGTGGGTATAACCTGTATGTCAGTATTCTGGCCAGCTATCAGCACAACATGATGTGAAATTAGGGGACAGGAGATGTATCTGGCTGATCCTTCATATTCACTTACTTTCTAAAAGATGTGTTTTTCAAAGATAGCATCCTTCAAAGATGAAGCACTCTGTACCCTTGAGGAGCCAGAATTTCTGAAAAAAATGACAGTGTCATTGCCATAATTTGGTCCATAAAGGGCTAAACTATCTCTGATGATAACCATTTAAAAAGGAAATGGCTGATTAAACATCACAAGTCTTTTGCTCCTTGGGATTGCCAATGCCTTAACTGGCCCCTAGGTACAGTCTTTAACACCAGCTTGATCTACAACAATTCACGGGTGATAATGTACCAGCAAAAAGTGCTTCCAGCTGCATACAGTTTTTATCAAGTCCTTATTCTTTTGTAAAGTTCTAATTCCTCAGGAAATGGATTATTTTTATGCTGAGCTTCAGTGAGATAGTTGCTAGGTAGAACTTTTCCAATTTGTTCAGAGAACAGAAATCCCCCTGTTGCAAAATAAACCTTATCTGAGTACCAACGAGATCTTTATCAAGAACTGGCCAAATGAACAGTCCTCCCACTCCTCTGTCAGCAACCCAAGAAGAGTTAGCTATTCTGTGCATGCCATAGTGCTATTATGGGGACTTAATGCACATTTTATATGTATGTGGCCTTATTGGTGATTGAACTATTTCATTCAATCCTCGCCCCTCCTGGTAAGCAACAGCGACTCAACTGCTGAGAAGCTACGGTAGCAACCAAATTTGGAATACTGTGTACGGTTCTGGTTGCCTCACCTCAAAAAGGATAATTCAGAGTTGGAAAAGGTTCAGGCAAGGGCAACCAAAATGATCAGGGAAAGTGAGCAGCTCTTGTCAGGAAAGCTTGCAGCATTTGGGAGAGGTGATATGATAGTTTATAAAATTATGCAAGGGATGGAGAAAGTGTAGAGAGAAAAGTTTTTCTCCCTCTCTCATAACACTAGACCTCGTGGACATCCAATGAAGCTGAATGTTGGAAGGTTCAGAAGACAGGCGAACTAATGACAGTGTACTGGAAGAAGCAAAGATCACCAGCGTTGAAGCAATGATTCTTCAACATCAACTTCGTTGGACTGATCATGTTATGCGGATGCCTGATTATCGTCTTCCAAAGCAACTACTCTATTCCGAACTTAAAAATGGAACGTGTAATGCTGGTGATCAAAGACTCTCTCAAGGCAAATCTTTAAAAATGTAGTATAAACACCAACAACTGCTGTTTGGAGAACAGCCTTTACCAAAGGTGTTGTGGACTCTGAAGACGCTCAAACTCAGGACAAAAGGGAGAAACGCGCTAAGAGGAAGGCATGCTTGGCAAACCTTCACCGTGATCAACTCCTGCCCAGAAACCTATGTTCCCACTGTGGAAGAACGTGTTGGATCCAGAATTGGCCTCCACAGTGTCTTATGGACTCACTTTTAAAACCGTGTTTATGGAAGACAATCTTACTTGGCTATGAGTGATCGAAGAAGAAGAAGAAGAAGAAGAAGAAGAAGAAGAAGAAGAAGAAGAAGACTGGGGGACTTGCTCCCACATAAGGCAGTGATGGCCACCAAC